GTGTGTGTGTGTGTGTGTGTGTGTGTGTGTGTGTGTGTGTGTGTGTGCGTGTGTGCGTGTGCGTGTGTGTGTTTGAGTATATATATATAGTTTTCAAACAAATAAATAACATTCTGTCTCTATTTCTGGTTATATACTCGATGGTACAATGCAACGCGAAAGTTTAAAAGTATATAATGTCAATTATAATGAAACATTTAACCAACTCCCGCTGCCTATAAGTCGCTTTTTTTAAATACAAGTCGTGGACTTTGTGGTAAGCGACACGCCTGTCCATAACAGTTGCAGTGCCACTCAGAGCTTTAAAACGCAAAGATCTGGGAGCAAAACCACTGCGCCCGTCACTCTGAGACATAAGTTGACTCTTGTCAATGGGCCTGTAACTTCACCACTTGGAGTGTAGGGTTGTCACATTATTATTTTGGAAGCAATATTTTTTCTTTGAGGAAAGGAAATTCATGACTTCATTCAAGAATTCAAAATCCTTTTTAGGCGACATTTGTGATCGACAGTGGATTATTGGGTTATTATTTCTATAAGGATGAGGCCCGACGAACGAATAGTGAGTTGTGAGTTGTTTTATTTAAGTTGCGTATTTTACGTTGCAATCGGTTTCGTATAAAAGTCCGGTTTGTGCCACACGAGGATGCAAAATGAGTTTATCTTCCGACTCACGCGCGTGATTACAATTGAATTTCGGTTGTACGGTAGTTGACGAAGAGGTGAGGGAAGTGGTTACGTTTCTTGCTCCATTACACTATATGACACAAACACCCCGTACAAACGCTTAAAATCAACTGAATAAAATATATTCATCTGATGGCCCAACCGTATTTCAGTCGAACGTAAACTACGCGATTTAAAAAACGCGACTCACAACTCACCAAATTACGCTCGTCTGGCCTCACCCTAAGGCAATGGTAAACATTAAAAACTTACCTAAATAATTATAGAAATAAATGAGTACGAACACAAAAATAAAAATTAAACACAAACAAATATATTTTCTTCCAATTCTACGCATTTTTTATTAACTAGGGTTTGTTTTTTATCGGTGCTTTAAAAAAAGGTGCAATTATTTTTAACAAGTCGCACTCTTCAATTAAAAAAAATGCTAGTTTAGAAAGGCGTTTCCAGTTAGCTAGTCTTCAGGGATGTCAGTCTTTGAAAATGGCGTGCAAGTTATTTTTTTTATTTCAATGGCCACGTATGCGGTAAGAATTTTATAATAATTTTAATTTTTCAACGGATTTATTATAAATATAAATTACGTGGTAATTATCGAAAGTCCTTATTTGAGGGGTCATGTGAACACAACCTTTTCTTTTCGTCTTTATTTAGGAACTTTTATACAATGTATATGCCAATTCCATCGTACCCTAAACTATAGTTTACATGTCTAGGCGGCGCTGTTGGAGAGCCGAACGCAACCTTATCACAATGTATTAATGATGAACATTTGATTAAAACTGAACATGTCTGAAAATAATGGACGGTGTACCTAAGGTTAATGTTTATTAGCGAAGTTCGAATGAGGTAGAACTCACACTTGTCAGAGCCCATTGTACCACTTTCTGCACGTGTAGCCTGAGGGCTAGGAACACTAGTGTGGCTCACAACGCCCTTCCAGTACAGTACAACAATGCTTTTAGGGTATTGTAGGCTACGGCCTCCGTGGCCGAACATCTATTTCTCTCGTGAGTTTGGGTATAATTTGTGGTTGTCTACGTGTATGTCCATGGCACCCGCGATACAGGGTTTCCCTAATGCAGGGCTTTGTTGAGAGTGTGCGTTATTATTATTAAATTGTTAATTTTAATAAATTTTCATAAGACACACAAAGGCGAGTGGACTAACGCTAGAAAGAATTTGATATTAGAGGATAATAAAGAGGAGTAATAATACGGCTGTAATAAAAAAATTGGTGCATAAGAGTACCAGACACACTTACAGAGAGTTGTCTTGAACACGATCTTCACGAGGAGTACTGGAGTAGGTGTGAGCTAGAGTGTAGCCTACATATGTGAGCTAGGCTCTGACACAGTTAAAAAACTTTGAAAAGACCGGCAGTACTAACTTCGAGAATTTATGTTCTAGCGTCAATTAAATTGCTTACTTTAGTGCGTTTAATATTCGTTTGATTGTAAAGTAACAGTTATATAGGGCTATGAGTGTGTGCGTTATTATTATAATTATTGTTATTGGGTCTCCTTCGATACTGCAGTGCTTCGGGAATACACGACCGTTGAATGTTTTTACGCAACAATGCGTAAAAGATGTGCTTCACTAGTGCGCCGTGTGAGGAGCATCTCTAATAGTATCCTGAAAATGATCTCCAAAAGGCTTAAGTGTCCGTCTATGAATCACTGCTGTGCGATTTCAAATGTCATCGCGAAGCGGTGATTGAATTGAGACGGCCGCCGTGGTCGAGTGGCTTGCATATTGGTTTTCATGGTGCCGGTTTCTGAGTTCCCGAGTTCGATCCCCGGCCGGGTCAGTGTAGAAACTAACTTTTCTATATCGTCTCTGGATGTTTGTTGTACCGTCGTTGTTTCCGATTTCCATAAAGCGCTTTAGCACTTACTTTGGGATCAGAGCAACGTATGTGATGTTGTTTAATACTTATTTATTTATAAAAAAAAGTATTTTAGAATTTTTATAGATGTAACTATAAGTATGTTATAACAAGTTATGGACCTAAGCTATCTGAAATAAATTAAAAACAGATAATCCGCGTCTTGAGTCCTCGGTAGGTATGCGCCGAATGTACTACTAATAATTAATAAGATACTTCACCTGTCCCCTAATAGTCTTACTTGAAATATAGTCTGATGTTTATGTAGCAGAAAGAGTTCGTCGTTCGTAATGGCATATTGTGCTTTAATACACGTAAACCTTATACCCAGTACTGGGAAAAATGCGGGCTATATCTTTATTTGCAGTACGAAATACAAATTGCTTTCATGGGGTATTTCAAAAATATAAAATAAGTTATTTTGACTTAAAATACAAAAGAAACGTTATGTTTACTTCATTTATTTAAAATACATATTACTATCATTACAACTAATCGAACACCACGAAAAATTTTAAACAAACATCAATTACAATATACATTGCGGTCAGAATTTTGTATTACCAATTATAAAATACAGTTATAAGTAGTAATTTAAATGCAAGTCTTGCAAGCAGTAGTACAGAATCGACTGATGAGGTAATTTCGAGCCATGTTTTCAGAGCACATATAACATAAAGAACCACCCATGTTGCCAAGAATCGAATGACAACATAACTTTGGCAATGATAATCGACGCCTTTGAAATATACGGCCACGACCCCACGGATAAGCTGGATCATTTGGCTCATTACCAGATTGAAATGATGAAAATAAAGCGTGCACCTGATCAGGTAATTCCTTAGATGAACTTTAGGTAGAACTAAAATCTAGAAGCTAGCAACCAAATACTAAAATAATTCAGTGTACTCTGTAGTTTTGTTTTCACTGATATTTTTATGATGGTCGTTAAATATCTAATCCGTAGTTTCATACGTTTTAGTGTAGCACTCACAATTTGACCTCTCATACTTTTTCTCATACATCTAAACACGCTCACTCGCTCGTAAAGTTCATCGTCTAAACTTACACAGGTCGCACACTCACGTAAAAATATACACACTCACACGTACACTAGCCCACACTCATCCAATGCACACACGCACATTGCACACACTCACACACACATCACACGCGCTTACACACACATCACATGCACTCACTCATACATCTCACGCACTCACGCATCACACGCACTCTCACATAATTTTTTTATATTTTTCTTTTCTCTTTTCTTTTTATTTATATAATTTGTTTCCATTTATTGATCAGAAATTCGGGAGGTGGAGGTCTGGTGACCTAAAACATAGGGAATCCTAGTTTAGGCTCCAGCCTCTACAAAATTTCCTATATACACTACTATTATTTCATTTAAATAGTTACGAATTTGTGGAGGAAATAAAGAATTTACTTTTTACTTACTAAGTTTACTATATTTTTAGACACTGCCTATCTTTTATTTTGTTTAGGATTAGCGCCATCTATCCATACTAGCAAGCGTTAATTTTAATTTAGTTTGTAGCACACAATGCCATCTATGACACGAAAAATTTGTCGAAGTTCAGAAAATAATTTTAACTCATGGTCAATATTTGAATATTCTAATAAGAAGGAAGAAAAACTGACTAATTATATTTCATATTAAAGAGGAATTAATTAATATCTACTGCCATTTACATATTAGAAAATACTTCTAAGCTTTCGACCAGCGCCAACTAAATAACTGACGGAATTTTTACCTTTTTCAGAGTTACGATTTGTAATGGAGATTAGCAGCCTCTTATATTGGTTCATGATATAACGTACGACAGAGCGAAACTTCAGTTACGCATTTTCACATAATTTTGATTTTATACTGATTTTTGTTGAAGCACAATTTATAAATCTTTTTATGTGTGTTATTTTGTTGGTAGGTCAATGGTGTTATTGAATGTCAGGATGTTGTACCACCATGATATTCCATTAAAAAAACAAAAAAAGGAGTAATTTCACAAAAAAGTAATTGAATATCATGATAGTGAAACATCCTGACATTCAATAAAAAACTTAGAGTGAAAAGCGATATCTCTAGCCAGGGCTAGTAGCTGTGTAAAGGTGCGTAACTGCGTGACGAAATACTTTCATAGGTTTCTCATAGATGGCACTACTGCTAAAAAGTCGTTAAAAACCAGATACAAAAAGATCCGACAAGCAAGCACATAGAAAAATTCGTGACGTCCGCTGGTTGGTTCCGTGGCGTAGTTGGCATAGCGTCTGACACGGTTTGCTAGAAGACGTTGAACGGTTCGAATCTGGCCGGATCGAAGGAATTTTTTCTAAGTAGTCGATCTTTGTGTTAATAATTATTATAAATCTTTTGCTCTACTATACATATATATAGTAGAATTAGTTAAAATTATACAATTCTCTAATTAAATGCTAACTACAAACTTAATTCTTACAACTGTACTGCCTTATTGTCATAACTAACGCGTTTGCATTTTGCTCATTTTCGAGATATTGGCAACAAAAATTATTTTTCTTTGATAAATGTAAATTAGGTACGTTGATTTTGCTTAACAATAAAAGTGGAAGATGAGGAGGATAAGGTATATTTTACACCACATTTTTATCTTCGTCCTGAAAAATGACATCGAAATCACGAGGTATTAACTCTAAGACTTTTGGTTTCTCAATGCATCTCTTCATTTACTGTTAGAAGTAAGAACCAAGACTAACCTAACCAAGAGGTAACACGCTTGATGTTGCAATTTATTACCATCGATCGCCAAAACTGATCCACCGCCAATTTAAAATTGCAACTGATCCCCTCTATATTTTGCAACTCCCAAAGAATCCCCTCATTGTATTTGTTAGATAAGTACGGTCAAGAGAAAAAGAAGTTTTGAAATCAAATGTATGATTGAGGAATTATAATCAAATGTTACAATTATCACAGACAATCAATTTGTTTTTGTGACAGGTCATTAATATTGGCGTATTGCAAATCACAAGTAACATAAATCAGTCTTGAGCAACATTTAAAATCTAGTTTAATGTTATGATTATCACGTATAATGTTATACATTTTCTTTACCACAATACCCACCAAAAATAAATTTGGAAGTACCAGGGTATCAGGTGGGATTAAAATATTAATATTTATTCTTGATCCACTGCATTGGGGATCCGATGGGAATAGAAAATAATTTGAAATAAAATGGGTTCCCCAGGGGATCGATTTTAGGAGATCAGATGGGAATGCGTCGACATTGGTGTGGTTGTTTATAAAATTTGTTATAAGCACACATATACAAGCAAACGTACACACGTAAGGATCTGCTTATTTTTTGTAATATACTGAGGTTAATTGAAAATGTTTTAGTACATAATAAACGAGCATGTTCACATAGCGACTGACCATTTGGCAAGATTCATACACATGCACATAAAGGAATTAAAGGTAAGTCCAAAGTCGTCATATAGGTGCTATTTTAGCTATAGAGTAGCACGTATCCGCTCAGATGAAGGTCTTAGGGTCGAAACACAAAACTGCGAATCGGCGCGAGGCGAATTCGCAAAGCATTTCAAGCAGATTTCGAGGCGCGCGCGGGCGCAAGTGCGCGCGCCGTGCAGGTAGACTTTGTTCCCACTGGCGACAAATCGGAAAAAATCCCATATGTTACCAGGTGGTGAAAAACGGGTTAAAAAAATCTCAGTGGTTGCCAGTGGTGATTTCTACTGGTGGCAAAGGGGAAAAAAAACCCATATTTTACCAGGTGGTGACAAAATAAGAATATAAAAAGTTCTGTTGTTGCCACTGCCGACAAATGGAAATTTAGATATTCCAGTAGTTGCCAGTGGTAAAAAAATAAATAAAAATGGAATAAAAAATCCCAATGAATATATAGTATGTTGAATATATGAATAGCATGTTTGCTGCCGCCATCGAAAAGGAATAAACGTTTGAAGAAAAATCGGTAGTAATTTAAAATTTACATATATTCAAAAAATACAGGAAGTTCTTTTTACACGTCATAAATTTTAAATAAAATGAAAAAATCAATTCAAACCATTTTCTGCAACATTACAAGAAGTACAATTGCGTCAGTGTATCACCAAATGAGCGATATTGATACAAGGCGTGACATGGAGTGGTTAAAATCACCAAATATTAATTATTTACTTTTTGAATTCCGGATTTATGCATCCCTACACACATAGGACTTGTTAACTGAAATAAGTCATAAGGTAATTCAGTTGACAAGTGGTTGTGTTCTTCAGTTCGTCCCGTCATTTGGTACCATTAAAAAATAATTTAAAGAACGAATGTAGATGCCAAAAGTCAACACCAACATTTCACAAGCTAAAAATATTTTTACATGCAATCAGGTACTTCTAATAGCCCTGGATGATGTCATAGACAACATGCTAACGATGTACGACAATCATAATGCAATTAAAACTGAGCGAGTGGCTACTTACAATTCGCCTTCGGGAGGCGCCGTACCCTCAGAGTTTTACATGAGTCAAGGTATAGTACTTGAAATACACTCCCGGATACATAAATCCATCTTGCATTTTTATTTTACAATTGCTAGATGTAACTTGTTTTATTATCATTGAAAAAACAGTTTTTCCCGATTTCGCAAATTCAAATTTTCAACAAAACCTTTTGCAAATGACGTTTAGTACACCACTTTCAAACTTGAATTAGTTATTGATCAATCAAACATTATTTAAGCTAAGGACATTTAATACTGACAATGCAAAGTGGCTCGAAATATGTGTCCGGGAGTATATATTTTTGCGGTAAAGATAGAATAATTACATGACTTAACGACCTCGGTGGTCCAACGGGCTGCAATATGGGCGCTGCATTAGATGATTCCCGAAAGGACCAATTCGGGAAATGACCTGTTCTAAATTGGTTCTGGTATGGTATGTTCCTGGTAATGCCAGAGAGTGAATTCCGTTGCACCGGTATTCATTGTATAGTTCCCTATTTGAGACCAGGCAATCGATTTTTCTGACACATTATTTAGAAAGAAAGAAAACAAATACATTTTTTAATTAAACAATAAGTGCGCATTTCACCTCCTATAATATCACCTGAAATGTCTCACCTGACGGAAAGTGACGATAAGGTCGACGATGGATTATGCACAACTTAATAGGCTTATGCACTCTCGCTTTGAAAAGGCCCAAGTACATAGTTTAAGGAACAAGTTTGCAGGCAGGTAATTCCACTCCATAGTCGTTCACCATGATCGTGAAAATTTATTTTAACTACCACAAATAAGTTTAAAGGGAAGAAGGAAAAAAGTCTGTGTACAGTTTAAGTTCTCGGGTTTCTCTCAGAGAAAAGTTTAAGGAGACTGGTATCATGACTCAATCACAGAATCACAGTACATTTACTCAAATATTTTGTATGCCTGTAAAAATATACATAATTTCATTAAGAAAGTAGATATCCATAATATTAGGGGTTAAAGTATGAAATTGCCGTTTTATTGCAATAGGTTCTTTGAATTTTCATAGAATCTTCATGGTTTGAGGTTTTCGAATGAAACTTTTTTCAAATGGTTTCTGTGATTTTTTTTTTTAAATTTGAAACATTTGAATATCGACTTTCAATTGTTTTTGTTATTCAATTTAGACAAGAAAGATGGATACTGCGAAAATTCGAGTGATTTTTGAATACGAGTTCCGACGCGGAACTAACGCGGCAGAAACAGCCCGCAATATCAATGCTGCGTTTGGAGAGGGGTCTACTAATGAACGCACCGTGCGATTTTGGTTTAAACGCTTTCGTGATGGAAATTTCGACTTAAAGAACGAGGCACGAGGAAGACCGCCCACACAGGTGAATAACGATGAATTAAGAGAGATAGTGGAAGCCGATCCTAGTCAAACTACCCAGGAATTAGCGGCATGGTTTAACGTTACCTTACCCACAATATTGACTCACTTGCGTCAAATCAATAAAATAAAAAAATACGAAAAATGGGTGCCTCATGATTTGACTGATCTGCAGAAAGAAACGCGTGTTGAAACTTGTGTTGCCTTGTTGAACCGGTACAGAAATGAAGGAATATTGGATCGAATTGTAACATGTGATGAAAAGTGGATTCTTTATGATAACCGGAAAAGAAAAATGCAATGGCTGACCCCAGGTCAAATGCCACAACAGTGTCCTAAAGCAAAACTTACCAATAAAAAGGTAATGGTAACTGTTTGGTGGTCTCAGCATGGTGTTATTCACTATAGTTTTCTCCGATCTGGTCAAGCAATAACGGCAGATGTCTATTGTGCCGAACTCCGAACCATGTTGACAAAACTAGCAGTAAAACAGCCCCGACTCATGAATCGATCTTCACCATTATTGCTCCACGACAACGCGAGACCTCACACAGCACGAGAAACCATTTTGACCCTTCAGGAACTGCAGTTAGAAACCATTCGTCATCCTCCGTATTCACCAGACCTTGCTCCAACGGACTACCATTTTTTTCGTGATTTGGACAATTATCTACGTGACAAGAAGTTTTCTTCCCAGGAGGCAGTACAAAATGCTTTCACACAGTTTGTGCAGTCTAGATCGTCGGAGTTCTATCGCAAAGGCATTAATAACCTTCCCATTAGATGGCAGCAATGTATAGATAATAATGGCAACTATTTTGATTAAATAAATTTGTTAAAAATTTAAAAAATAAACAATTTAGATTTTCAGTACAAATCGGCAATTTCATACTTTAACCCCTATTATTAACCTTAGAACTAAGTCCAAACTCATGGTACCACGATTTCGTTTAAATTAGGTAAACGATTCTTTTATGGGGAACTGTATACATTTTTACAATAAGATTCCGGAGAATATATTTAAATTATCATTTCCTAAGTTTAAAACTTACATTAAAGGTATTTTAATTGAAAAGTCATATTACAAAATTGAAGAGCAGGTATGTTTTAGATAAAGAAATATGGAAAGACAACAAGAGTCTAGTTCCACACAATTATGATTCAAAGTGTATTCCACAGCATTTAAGTTTATTTGAAAAGAGCAATCCCTAGAGTTTCTTGCTCGTTCTTCTCAGGGAGGTCAGCGTAGTGAACGAGCAGTAGCTTAAAAAAAATGACGTTTTCAATTGTGAAAGTTTTACCTACGGAATAAATGATTTGACTTTGACTTTAAAAAAGGTGGATAAGTTTGTGGCAAACCATATTCATTACACTGTTAATATAGTGTATATCGCTTCGTAAATTCCCCTAGATACCTGGTGGTCTTCTTACCGTATCGATGGCACACTCTGTAAAGCTTGTCATAGTGGTGAAAGGACCAATCGGCGTAAGATAGGTACGTCTTGTAAGGGGAGGCTCGTTCCTCGTGGTACCAAAAAAAGCCGTGGTAGTCTAATGGTTTGACCTATTGACGGACTCGCATATCTGAGTTTTTGGTTTTTTTTATAACATCAAGTGACGGGACGAACAAGTCGTGCGCCTGATGGTATGCTATACGCCTGTCCATAACAGTTGCAGTGTCCTCAAAGCTTTAAATCGCAAAGATCTGAGGGGCACTGCCACTGCCCGTCGCCCTGAGACATAAGTTGACAAGTCCCTTGTGCCTGCAATTTCACCAGCACCCTTACACTTCAAAACCGGAACACAGTAATGGTGACATTACTGCTTGGCGGCAGAAATAGATAAGGTGGCAGTACTTCCCTGGACGAACTCTTTCACAAGGCCCTCTTCTGCTACTTGTGTACATATTGTAAGAAACGATTGTCAGAATATTTGCAAACAAAATATTAATTAATAAACAACATTTCAGAATTCTACTGCGGCAAGAACGTCTACATATTCATATCGGAATTATACAGTGATATTTATAACATGGGTCGTGGTATCACACCATATTGTAAAGGCAGAGCGTTCCATTTCATAGGCTTCGTTCACTATCTTGACGATAAACGGTATTTCCTTGAAGAAGACCCGAATGTTGTATTTGATATGGAAAATTACATACATGGTTTGGAATGCCATCTTGGAATTTGTATATTCAGGTGCGTTGTATAGAGCTTCCCAGACGGACTTAGAAAGGTTTACCTTTAAAATTCAATATAAAAAATTAAACTAATATAAACGATATGTAAGAAAGACTTGGATATTACCGTGCGTTTGATAATTCCGTGTATTTACAACTACATGCTATTTACAATATCTCCAGTGCCACAGTATCATAGTTCGACACGTGTTACTCCCCCGTAAGTTTTCTATTACTTATCTAATTCCGTGAAAAAAGGGCGATCATGCGAAGGCTATGCGTAAAGTGGGTAGGAAAAAGGCTATCCTGTTTGTTAAAATACTCGTTATGGTCCTATGTGTCGTATATCGTCGTGATTCTTTACAGGTTCCATGGTCACAGTCGAAACGAAAAAACAAATATACCCGATTTAAATTCGGAACAATAGTTTCATTTTCCATATCTCTATATTTTATTTTGGTTACCAATTTATTCTAGAGTTTAATGAATTAAGGAAACTCTTTCTTTTCAGATTTCCATTCAAAAAGAACCTCCAACATGTAAGAGACATTTCAACACTGCCAAAAGCGATAGTCAAATGTGGTACAATTATGTACAAGCTACCCCCGCTGACGGCCGTCTCCTGCATTATCACTTCCGGATCGTTCATCCTAGATTTTAACATACAAGGGCTACGTTTTAGGCATTACGATTATTTGTTGGTAAGCATTTAAACAGTTATAGAATTGTGAAATCTATACTTCGTTTCTATTGACTTACAAATAAATTGACGACGGGTCTAATACAAAAACCACGAAAAAAATGTCCCAAGTCAACCTATTTAAACGTAGTGACATGTAAAGGAATATGAAAAAGCTAAAACGTTGAATTTAAATTGTAATGTCATCGCAGTATCGCGCTGTCAGTCGAACAAATGAAGATTAAAGCGGAGTTTGACGCTCTGCATACCATTTTAACGCCTTACAAGTTCGGGCACTTTTTAGCGCGGACCCGACGTCCATATAATTGTAAGTCAATGTTCGTTTCAATCCATTTTAAACAAAAATTAAATTAAACAAGTCACTGACCGGATCAGAGACGATTTATAGATGGCCAATTGTAATGCCAACTACATATCGATTAATTAATTGACTGAATTGATTTGTTTAATTGAGTCATACTCTAGAGGTTTTCCTAACATAAAAATAGTGAAAATACGTAAACCTATGAAAGCATATATTTAAAATTTCCGAAGTCTTAATTTTAAATCCTCCTCAAATTACACTTAGATACTCGTTTGATTGCGATTGAAATTTTTGATTTAAGAAATATACTTGAAAGTGTTACTTATTCGCCTTATTGAGTTATAGCATTAGAATTTGAACCAAACAGGTTTGTTTACTTTTGTTTAAAATGGATTGGAACACACTATATAACAATTTTTTTCAGAGAAATGAGACTTAAAAAATATGGAATATACATGTAATGTAGGCTTTACAACAATTGGCGCGACTCTGGCAACGGTTTATCAATTCCATTTCATTTATACTCCTGGGCACGGGTGTCCTCTCAGGTGAAGGTTTATGCAATGCGGATAGGGGACGTCACACATTTTCCGAGGGTAGTGATCCTTCTTCTTCGTGCAGGTTTCATCACGTCTTTCTTATCAATTTGTCTTTCTATTGAATCGATTCGCTTGAAAATCGCATTGAAATAAATCGATACAAAAAATCGTTAGTTTGCATGCACTTGAAGCGATCTTTATAAAAATCGAATTGTAATGTGCATCCTTGGCAGTGGCAATTCACAGGATTGCAAAGTGGGTATTGTAGACATTTTCGTCTAAAAAAGATTTTTTACATCGAAATTTGCAATAACTAATATATAAACTAAACGCCGCTTTAGCCAACGATTTTGGGCAGATGGGATAGATGGGTTAACATACGGCGCTTTGGTAAAAACCCGGGCGGGTTGATTAGGTTTTAACCCACTGCCCATCTCTACACGCGGGATAAAACAGCGATACAATCGTATTTGTATACCTGCCGTGTATAATTGCACTGCATTCGAGAACATTTTACTAAAATTAATTAGCTTCATTTAGATCCTGCCAAACGGTCACACGTACTACACGAAAGAGAAATACACTCCTCTGGTCTGCGACCATCACGTCTGTGAATGGAATAACACTAATTTTTATGGAGGTAAGTATTACACAGATAGCACCGAAGTAAATGAACACCTTCCTTTAAAACGTAAAATTGTTTTAATTGTGCCCTTTGTATAGTAAAACCATACGTGATCAAAAGTCAAAAGTGCTTTTTAGCGAGAGCATTACGCATTCTTATGCATTCAACAAGAAGTTTCTTAATTTTTTTTTATAATATCAAGTGACGGGACGAACAAGTCTAACTCACTAAGTCTAGCTATACGTCTGTCCATAACAGTTACAGTGCCATTCCAAAGCCTTAAGTTGCAAAGATCTGAGGAGCACTGCCACTGTACTTGTCACCTTGAGACATAAGTTGACAAGTCTCATGTGCCTGTAATTCCACCACTACCCTTTCAAAACCGGATCACAGTTATACTGACATTACTGCTTGGCGGCAGAAAACGGCAAGGTGGCAGTACTTCCCTGGACGAATTCTTTCACAAGGGGCTCTACTGCTACTAAAACTGCCTTAGTCATTAGCTATGATTCATTCGCTAAAAACTTAAATGATAAGTTTGTCACTTTTCTTCTAACTGCAGCTTGATTTTGATTGCCTCTCCCGATCGGAAACTGCGTCTTTTCCGAGTCGAGGCGATGATAATTGCGAGCCACAACTGATCGATCGGAAACTTTTGACATTTACTCGATCTTAATGTAAACGGCTTGGAGTTGAATTTAAATCTTAAGTGTGTTATTATATCATGAGTGCAAAATACAAACATACATTGTATATTGTAGGTCCATTCATCATACCAGGAGATCCAGGTGATGGTTTAGCGCCTGTCCCACCGTATATTGACCAGACTACAGAGCCATTCCCGATTTCTACTGAGCCTAATCGACCGGACGAAATTAACACTACTTGTAAGTTGTCGAAACTAAAGATTGTTTCCAAAATGTATCATGCGGCCGCCATTTCTAGAATTGAGGAAGAAGAACAGAGGTAGCGCTTGCTTATGACGTTAGTATAATGAGATATGGTTAACTCCGTACAAAAATAGCAGCGCGACTTGTATCTGTGTGCACGCCCACGCTACGGATGCCCACATTCGCATAATAATGAAAGGAGCGTAGGACGTTACGACGACCAGCGTTATGCAACCAGAGATAGGCAAGCGCCCGGGTTTTAATCCGGCTCTTTGTTAACGTCGGCTTTAAATTGGTTTAAAACCCACTAACGCCCAAATCGAGGGCAAAAACTATTTATATATTTATTTGTTATTATTTATGTTTGTTACAAATCGAATTTTATTAATAATTGTTTCTTGCTTTCTGATCTAGAGGATCGATTTGCCTTTCTATTGAATAGATTCGCTTGAAAATCGCATTGAAATAAATCCATACAAAAATTCGTTAGATCGTATGCACTTGAATCGAAGTTCATAACAACCGAATCGTAACGTTCCTTCCTTAGTAATGAGAATCCATGGGATTGCAAGGTGTGGTGAGTTGTCTCTTTTTCAAAAAACATTTTTTACATCGAAATTTGTAATAAATATGGAATTATAACGATTTTGGACAGAAATGGGTTAAAATCGTTAAAAGCTTTGGGTGAAAAACAGATTAAAATCCGGGCGGGTTGATTGGTACTTAACCTACTGCCCATCTCTGTATGCAACGCGAATCCATCGCGAAATTATGCGAATGTGTGCGTCCGTACACTGCACGCGGCGGGCGTGCACATATACAAACCACACTGCGACATTTGCATGGAGTTACCATATTCCGTTATGATATCCCATATTTATTGTCTTCTTTTATGATTTGATGTTTTTGTGTGTATGTTACGCGGTTACTTCGATTTGTGAACTGATTTCGACGGTTCTTTTTTGTTGGGAAGTGGGTACCTCAGTAATGGTCCCATTTAAATTTGAAGAAAATATTCTACCTCCAAGGGTGGAAAATTAGGGGATGAATCCGGTTTATTGAACTTCACCCGCTTTCCGTTAACCGATTTTAATAATACTTGGCACAGGTGTAATATGAATGAAAATTAAGTGTCATGGTTATTTAGAGATAACCTGATGTTGGACGCTCGAACATATCCTGAACGAATGACCCATATTCGAAAGGACGTATTCGGTGCCAAGAGGTTGAAGTTCGAATTCGAGGTCGACGAGAAACGCTCGACCTCGACATGGAGCGCCCTCCTGACAGGGAAACGTTTAGCTCCGAAATTTGCCGACTTCTGTGTAGCGACTATGAGGACAGTAACGCAGGTCAATAAGGCGGCAACAAAGCCTCCGTAGTGCGGAGGGGACAATGTGGGAAAAATACCTATTCATATGTAAACGCGTTTGTTACTGTTTCCAAATGTTAGTACAATGCAACGCGAAAGTTTAAAAGTATATATATTAGAGAAATTAGTTGAATTCTGACGCAATATTTTATTTGATTTTTTTCTTTTACAATGATTTACACTATTTTATTATTTTTTACAATTTTATGGAATTATTATTAATTGTACAATTTTACAAATGACTTTATACAATTTAGACTAATTAAGAACATGGATTTTGTTTTATTTTAATATTTAATTTTTTTTATTGACAATTTTTTCTTTTTTTTTACAAAAATATAATGCTAGTTAAGTAATAAAAAACATATACATATAAATAAATATGTTATGCATAGTGAGTAAAGAAAGAAGAATAGTAATAAAAAAGAAACATACTTAGAAAGAATATGTATTCAAGGACCCCGAATAATAAATATCGTTGGGGGTGGAAGAGGGCCAAGGAAAAGCCCTGATGATGGAAGTGGCAGGCAGATAAAAGGAGCTCCTCAAAAGTGTACAGCATCTACCTTGTGTTTGGGCTCGTATTCCAGAACTCTACTCAATGCTACTCTAATGCGACCCTAATGGCAAGGACTTGAGTACGATTTCTAGTGCTTTAAATCATACTCAAGTCCTGACTTGAGCATTGAGTAGACTTCTGGAATACGACTCCTATGATTCGTTTTGACGTGCACTTCTATCTGCGTTTCAACTGTCTTTGAGTTGGACGGGGCAACGAATACAGCGAAAGAGGATAGCAAAGTTTTTAACCTTTTGGCCGCCACTGATAAAAATTATAGTACCGGCACGCTATGATGGCCGTTTTGACGTTTGTCTGCTTATCAAGGTTCGTATCAATTCAGTTACGTGCAGTAAAATTTATGAAATGTGTAATTTTACGACACAACTCGGTATTTGTTGTTCGAAATTTAAAAAAAATGAAATCTAATACGATCGTCACTTATGGGATCGCTTCTACCTCCGACAAACTCGCGTCAAAGCTCAATGTAAAACAAAGCAGTTTCGAATTGACGATATTGTGTATATTAAGTAAACATTTTTATTTTCGTTTTATTAAAACTTTTTAATCAGCAATTGCAATACTATTTAAAAATCTAAAAACTTATAGATGCGACTCGTATTTGATTATATTTTTTTCGATAATGAATTGAGATTTGACCTCACTATTGTAATCTGTCAAAACGGCCATCAGAGCGTGCCGGTACTGTAGTTTCGTTCCCTGGACGGCAAGTCTATATGTATAGTGATGTGGCATGTTATGAATTCCCAACATATATTGAGTGAATTCTTTATGGATTCCTTACTTAAACAGAATATACAAATAATACATATGTACTTCACGCCTTTTTCCCATCGGGGTGGGCAGAGACAACAGTCTTCCACTTGCTACGGTCCTGACACACATCTTTCGCCTCATCAACACGCATCAATGCTTTCATACACGCTCGTCGGTTATGGGTACTCTTGACCTGGCCCTTCGTTAGGATGGCCTCAATTTGGTCATGATAAGTTCTCCTTAGTCGGCCCATACCAACTTGCCCGCTCACACTCTCCATATAAGTCTGTTTCGTCACTCTTCTATCATTCATCCTCTCTACATGACCGAACCATCTAAGCATCCTTTTCTCTATCTTTGTCACTATACCTTCTTCCACGCCGCAACGCTCTCTTATCACACTGTTCCGTAATTTATCCGTCCGAGTCACTCCAGCCATAATCCTCAAAACTATAATTTCTACTGCATTAAATATACTTTCATGCTTCTTCTGCCAAACCCAACATTCACTACCATACATAAGTGTAGGAACCTGCCCCCCCATGCACAGTCAATCGTGCCTTTTTAGACACTTTCTGGCTGCCCATGAAAGTATGCAAGGCACCATTCACCTGATTCCCTGCGTTCACTCTTTTTTCAATGTCTCTTTCACATTTTCCATCACACGTAAACATAGCACCCAAATACAGAAACTCTTTCACTTGTTCCACTTTCTCTCCTTCGATCAATATCGTGCAATTATTCGTCATATCTTCCTCTCTTTCAAAAACCATTACTTTTGTCTTTCCCACATTAATTTTCATTCCTTTCCTTTTAAGAGCACCATGCATAATATTTGCCATCTCCTGCAACTACTCCACCGACGACGCTAATATCACCTGGTCATCGGCGTATAGGAGGCACTTAATGAGTAAAACATTCATTCTCAGCCCACACGTACTCTCTTTTAAAACTTTCAAACAGCCATGGCGACGCTACACATCTCTGTCTAACACCTTTCCCGATATCGAACCAGTCAGTGTAAGTACCATTTATTCTGATACAGGCACTGGGATCCTCATAGAGAGATTTCAGTGCCTGAACTAGACTGCCGTCCACTCCATTCATGGGCAATGTCGACCACAATTATTTCCTTGACACTCTGTCGTAGGCCTTCAACAATTAATATATAAATATTATACAAGGATAATATTTAATAATTAATTTTTAATTGAAAAATTAAAGGGTTTCAATGACGCTTTAAGTCGTCACTGTCGTATCAACCAAGTTAATGTAAGACGTTTTAAAGCGTCCACGGCGGTCTAAGTACTTACTTTTCATAATAATCAGTATATATATATTTTTAATTGTCCCTAGATACCGTGGACGGTTGCTGGTTCATGTTTCCACCAAACTATGGTTCCATTGCTGGCATTAGCTATTTGGATTCTTTGTCTGTCAACGAATACCGATACAGCTGTCAAGGCACGCAGAATAAGGTGATTGGGTCTAAAATTGTTTTGATATTTTTCACTGGGGAATGTAGATTAGAATAGAAGAATTGGATGTCTTTAGAAACTTGATTTGGTTTTAACTTAGTTAATTGATATAAATAAAGTAAACGCTTATAGAAGTGCTGCAGTGCCGCGGTAGCCGTGCGTCTGTATCGCTTTAGTAATTTTTAGTTCACGAATTGTGGCTGTAAAAGTGGCGCGCGTATGTCACGACAGTGGCGCTGCGATTGCGCTTCTAAATATTGTACGAAAAATAGTAGTGACACTGCACAGTGGTGTCAGTGCAGAGCGTCTATAAGCGTCTAATTTGAAGGCATCCTAACACTAGACTCAGTGTTACCAGCGTCATTTGGGTCGAAAGTTATGTTATACTTAGACTTAGTTTTTTTAATCTAAATATCCTAAATAAAAAGTAGGCACGCCGACATATCATTCTAATCAAGCTAAATTTAAAATTCCACTATAGTAACTTAAAATTCCACACAAAACCGTTGTTTAAATAACAGTCAACTTATTTAAGTAAAGAACTACAATCATAAGTACAGGCTGAATGGTGTTCCACAGGGCATCATACTTATACCCCAGTAGTTAGCTTGCTCTTTTTGAGACAAGGCATGTGCATCTTAATTACCATAAAAAGACGTAAGATCTGTCACTTAAACTAGTGTATGATGTAGCGAAGGATAAATGATAGTATGTTATTTTAAATAGTTTTTGTTGATTTTATGTTCATCAGGGTCTATATTGGTATCCTCAATGGATGGGTGTGCCTCCTCATCATCCATATCCGACATCTGGTGACCGGCCCGGCGATATTGCTCAAGTATCTTCGCCCTTCTACCCTCATCAACAGGGCAAGCAGGACTGATTTTGCTTCAAGGAACTGAAATCTCATATAAAATGATATTAAAATACAAAATAGATTTCAAAGGTCAGACTTTTTGTACGCTTTTATTAATATATATTTTTAATTTATTTATATTTTTAATCTATGTAGACAAGCGACGCAGTTGGTTAGTGGTTAGAGTAAACATGGACGGTCGGAAAAAAGTGAAACAAGTTTTTTTAGTAGATTTTTAATGGCTTTGGCATGAAGCCTTACAGTCCATTCTTAATTTCTTCTCTTCATTTTAGTTTCACTTTTCATTTAGGTTTTCAGTCTTCATGTGACGTAAAAACGCACTAATGTTCCTAATTTGAATAGGTTCATTTTTAATTTAAGTTACGTTGGGATGAACGAAAGGAGCCTCCTCGACGATATTTGCCATTTCTATCTTGTACTTACGTCTGGCGCATCCTGGGTGACAACCTTATGCCATTCGGTTTACGGGTCTTTCACTTGCATCGGCTGGGTACACGGTATATATCGGTAGATATCTGCCTTCCGCGCAAAGGCGTTCACGAGTATTACGATTTGCGTTCTGAGAGATTTGCGCGCATGCGCGGCGCCTTGCTTTGTTTGGGTTGTCGACACTCTCGAACAGTGGTGCTGTCCTTCGCTAACGTTTCTTGTTGCTTGCGTGGAAATATCAAGCTTGCTAGATATCAAACTCACGCAACGTAGAGAAAACCAACGCAAAGCAAATGGCTGGTTCAAGCGAGCGACTCATGAACAGTCCTACTTGCGCGTAGGCGACAGATCTTTGCGTACGAGCGAAGCGAGTCATGCAAGCAAGCGAAAAACGCTAGTGGCAGTCTCGTGAACCCGGCATTACGCCGATTGGCAAATTCATTTACCACGATGGCAAGCATTATAGTGTATGCCATTTATACGACAAGAAGAAGAGGAATTTAAGTTTCGGTGCTGTTATTTTTACGGCTTTTTTGCCATTTTTTTCAGTATTTAACTGGTGGATATATAAAATAGACTCCTAAAGTCATTTAATAAAAAAGTTGGGCGGAATTAAATGGATATGTTCATGTAGTCGTGCTCGAACAAGACGAGTCGTTTCTTTACTGACGTTACAAACAATCTTTCATTATTGTTTTTGTTGTCTACGGATGCCATTGCACTTCAGGCTTGTCATGATAATGCATAGGTATTGCTTCGAAGGGTTCGTCGAGAGGTTCTCTGTAATGCTGATCCAAGAAATAGTCATCAAAGTAAGGGTAATCTGAAAATAATAAACTGTAATGTATTAAAGTCCAAAAAATTGTGATATCTGTCGACATTTATGAAGGAGGAGTTGTTTTATTTTATTTTATTTATTTAATTCAAGCCACACGACCCAAATATACCTATACTTTAAGGACCAACATACATACAATAATAAAGCACTATTTACATATACTAAATAAGTAATCTACACGATATGTGTTTGCTGTGCCATACAGGTTACGGCTGGAGGGCTTTCTTTTCCTCTTCCCTACCTTTATGAAGCCGCCTTCGTTACTCCCGTCGGTAGTTGAAGCGGCTACAGCGGTGTATGCATGTGTAGGGTATAGCGTACACACGCTTGAGGTTTTCGCCGGGGTTTTGGCCGAAGGATAAGGGGGAAGAATGTAAACCGGCGATTCCGAGGTGTGTTGCCAGACACTATACTGCGCACACGAAGTGCAAATCGTATCGTTCGTGTGTTCGTTTAATTTTTTATATTATATTACATGTATCTTAGTGTTTAAGATATACATTATATGGGTCATAGTTGCTTGATTTAAACGAATAAATAAAAAAATATACAGACATAGACAGTATTAGTGGCATTATGTAGCAGCCTTGCAAGATAACTTGACAACATGCCACAACTAATTGTGCCATAGGCGCGCGTCGACTAAGCAGACATGATTATTAGATAGCTAAATTATTATTATTTTTTTTATTTAGATAGCTAAATTTAAATAATAGCTGTCAATTCATTATCTTCCTTATCATATGAGTGTGTGCACGTGTGTACGTTTATTTCAGTCCCTCCATCCATCCCTGGCAACTCATCAGGCAAATGGGCCTTCTATCACTTTTAAATATCAACTCCCGTTTGCACTGAAATCACAAATTAGATCGCTGAAAAGAACAGCGCCAACAACTGACCTGTGTATACGTCTCCGTACATTCCAAAAATATTGTGTATTTATTGTAATAAAGAGAATATCTCTAACTATAAGGGGTTGCTCCATTCGGTGGTGTAGGATAAACAGCAAAACATCTAATTACAAAACAAACGGAATCACATTTCATCGGTAATTAAATATTTAACATGTATTATTGTAAAGCTCAAGTTAAACTGGTTGATTTGGAGTGAAACAATTGACGACACCCGTCATTTTTATTTCAAATTCGGGCTGGTTGTCATCGTAATGATTTGGCAGAATAGTTTTCAAACAAATTAAATGACATTTCGTTTCTTTTTCTGGTTATATACTAGATGTTTCAGCCGAAAGACACCCAATACTGGACATAGGCATCCCCCAAAAATCGCCACATCGATCCTCTTTTTACCGCTTTTATGATAAGATTCCAGTAGATATTCAAAATTTGTCATTTAGGAATTTTAAAACTTTACACTTATGGTTATTACATATTACCTACAGCGTCTGCGTAAGTGCTTGGATGATAAAAATCCATGGTAGTGACCCATTTAGCACTTGCAGATTTGTCTCGATATAATGATATTTGAAATTAATATTTTAATGATAAATGTGTACATATGTATATTAACAAAGAACAACTCCTAGATTGTCTTGCTCATTCTTCTCATGGGATTCTGCCTTACGAATGAGCAGTAGAGTTTAATCAATATGTAGGTCAATTAATATGACGATTTTAAGTTATATTGCTTATCTGTTTAATGAAGTTTATTTGAGTTTGAGTTATCTACACGGAATGGAGTCAAAATAACGAAATCCGATATTTAAATCTTGTTTCTTCTACAAAAAACATTTACAAATCCCTTCACGAATCAAAGGCAACGGTTCCTGTAGACGACTACACTATAACATGTAATAGAGGACAAATAAAAATAATAAACAATAATGACAAAGTGCTGCTGACGTAGTTGCGGCTGGTCACTGCGGTTGGTCGTCACGCCTTAATTTGGTCTTGACCACATTTTATATTGGTCCCACAGTTCTCAATACATGGTCTTAGATAAGCTGGTAAATTAGGTTCTATTCTCGTTATGTAGTGAAATAAATAACTAATTATCGCTATAATTATTAACACAAAGATCGAACACTATGAAAGAGTCCTTCGATCCGGTTGGATTCAGCGAACAAAGATCTGCAATAAGCACAGAATAATTCGTAAAGTCTTCTAGTTCCTTCCGTAGCTCAGTCGAATCCAGCCGGATTGAACAAATTTTTCTTAATGTTCGATCTCTATATTAATAATTATAACGTAACATTATAATTACCGCAAGCTCGAACTTATGTCTTCACAGGGCCATTATTATTTAGACTAAAATAACTCAGTCTTTGGGTTGGTGGTACTCACGTTTCCATTCTATGGCTTTGGGGATGAAGATGCAATATCCTGGGTGAATTGCAAACCATACTGAAAAAGATGATGGAACTAATTTAATTTTTCGATTTCGTATCAGTGAATTCCAAAGCTGCATTGGCTAATAAGCTTAACTGGTTGCTCGAGGCTAGACTAGAGTATGTTTGAAATTACAATTTTTTGTTATATTTTTTATTTACATTTAGAGTAAAATATTTACGAGTTACTAAAAACATCTTCTAATTAAACGCTGTAGAAGCGCTGCAGTAGCGCGTTTGTGCTTATCATAGAAAAATAAATACAGTAGAGTAGAGTGTGGTAAGTGAGCGCGGCACGTGTGCCAACAGTATGTGGAGTTCCACATACTTGAGCTTAGTCTGCCATTTTCACTTTGCACTGACGACCATAAGATCGCATCGATTATCTCGCGCAAAACCTCGAAAATCGAAAAATATTTGAAATCGCAAAATGACATATTTTGCTATTTATGTGTGCAAAAATAGTAGTCGCACTTATATCCATGGTGGTGTTTTATATCAACGTTAACTCTTATTTTAATTAATTATAATAAATTTACAATATTCTTTTAAACATAATAATTTTTTTGTTACAAGAAACGTAACATGAACGCCTCTTTTTTGGAGAACTGAGTAAACATCTCGAATTGATCGCTAATCGGCAGCACATTGATTGAAATTTCAATATGAAATCAAAACGTCGTAACTTGTTATATAGGTATTGAACTTTAAACAACAGTGTAAAGTTAAAATTATGTTAACAGTCCAGTATTTGTTACTTCTTTTTAAATTAGAACCTACGACCAGTCATCATCAAGATTTAAGAGCGTTTCAAATTATAAATGAGTGAGTTTTGGCAACTGTAGTTGTGATTGTTTTTTTCTTCTGTGGTGCCAACGAACATGAAACATGTTACCTACATAATGGACGTCAATGGATTTAGGCGACAGCATCGAGTATATAACCAGAAATGGAGACGAAATAAGGGCCGTACATTCCTGGTAACTCACCGGTGATACATCACTTATAAATATCAAATCTCGTTTGTACTGACATATTACAGCGCCAACAACTGACCTGTGTGTACGTTTCTGTATATTCCAAAATATATTCAGTATTTATTATTATTATTCTATTATATATTTATTATTATTCAGTAGTTGTAATAAAGAAAATATCTCTAACAATGGCATGCTGTTCCATTCGGTGGTGTGGCGAAAAGCAGCAAAATATCTAATTACAAAACAAACGGAATCAAATTTCATCGGTAATTAAACTGCCTCCGTGGCCGAATGGTTACCATGCCTGACTGCCACGCAGAGGTCCCAGGTTCGATTCCCGGGCCGGGAGAAATATTTGTATGGCCTACATGTATTTCTCTCGTGAGTTTGGGTGTAATTTGTGGTTATGTATGTGTGTGTCCATGGCACCCGCGACACAGGGTTTCCCTAGTGCGGGGCTATGTCAAGTGTGTGCGTTATTATTAAAAAAAAAAAAAAATTATATGTAATTTTGCAATTTTCGTCCATTATAGCAAAGCTCAAGTTAAACTGGATGACTTGAAGTGAAACAATTGACGACACCCGTCAATTGTTTCGAATTCGGGCTACCCAATCGGAGCGCACACATCTCGTCTCTATTTCTGGTTATATACTCGATGTGCGACAGTCTAACATCGAAACTAATTTTGGATTGTTACCTACTTTTATGTCTAAATGATAAAGTGAATAGAACACTAATAGGACTGGATTTGACCTTTAAATGCAAATCTGCGCTTCTACACGGAGCACTAACAAAAGAAAAGGTTTTGTTTACCTTTTTGATCCATTTTTATGAAAACAGATTTTCGTTATTTGCTAATGAAGCTGTATCGAGTCATTCTGACGATGTTTATAGAAGCGCTGTAGTGGCACGTATGTTTCACTGCAGCCGCGAGACATCGCACATTGAGAATGATAGTGGCACAATTCAACTCAATTTTTGAACGTGTCATAAAACAGTTCACCAATCGGGTACTGTAATTTACGGGTAGCTATAGCTACCAGAGACGTTTGACCGTAAATGGCGTATTGAGTAGCTATGATTACCAGTGACTATTTAATGGATTGTTCGTGCCTTTAGAGATGGTTAGAGATAATTCGTAATGACGTCACTTTCGAGAGAAAATTGACAGTTCCAAGAAAAGATACATATTAAGCCTGCTGCAGCTTGATTTTGAATGCCTCTCCCGATCGGAAACTGCGTCTTTTCCGAGTCGAGGCGCATAATTGCCATTCACAACTGATTGAAAACTTTGACATTTCTAATCGGAATAATAGTTGATTTAACTCACAAATTAGAAAGATATAATAGGAATCAGGTTCATCTTCTCGCTCAGAAATCCATCTGATTTCGAGACTACCTAGTCGGATCAATTTAGATTTGAATTAAAATTAGGGCCCTGATATCTACTTATCGTAAGAGCAGTTTATTTAGTTATTGTAAGAGCGAACGAAAGATCAAATTTTTCGTTTAATTTATTATATGATCGAAAGAGAGAGAGAGAGAGAGAGAGAGAGAGAGAGAGAGAGAGAGAGAGAGAGAGAGAGAGAGAGACTGCTACGGTTAATTGTCAAGAGAGAACAGAGAGTCTATTCAGTTAATGGGACGGCAGGAAGTTTGGAATGTCTGTTTTAATTTATTATAAGAGCGAAAGAGAAAATATTATTTTTTGTTTATAGAAAGAATGATCACAGTGTCTTTTCTATATTAGGGGTTAAAGTATGAAATTGCCGTTTTATTGCAATAGGTTCTTTGAATTTTCATAGAATCTTCATGGTTTGAGGTTTTCGAATGAAACTTTTTTCAAATGGTTTCTGTGATTTTTTTTTTTAAATTTGAAACATTTGAATATCGACTTTCAATTGTTTTTGTTATTCAATTTAGACAAGAAAGATGGATACTGCGAAAATTCGAGAATTTTTGAATACGAGTTCCGACGCGGAACTAACGCGGCAGAAACAGCCCGCAATATCAATGCTGCGTTTGGAGAGGAGTCTACTAATGAACGCACCGTGCGATTTTGGTTTAAACGCTTTCGTGATGGAAATTTCGACTTAAAGAACGAGCCACGAGGAAGACCGCCCACACAGGTGAATAACGATGAATTACGAGAGATAGTGGAAGCCGATCCTAGTCAAACTACCCAGGAATTAGCGGCATGGTTTAACGTTACCTTACCCACAATATTGACTCACTTGCGTCAAATCAATAAAATAAAAAAATACGAAAAATGGGTGCCTCATGATTTGGCTGATCTGCAGAAAGAAACGCGTGTTGAAACTTGTGTTGCCTTGTTGAACCGGTACATAAATGAAGGAATATTGGATCGAATTGTAACATGTGATGAAAAGTGGATTCTTTATGATAACCGGAAAAGAAAAATGCAATGGCTGACCCCAGGTCAAATGCCACAACAGTGTCCTAAAGCAAAACTTACCAATAAAAAGGTAATGGTAACTGTTTGGTGGTCTCAGCATGGTGTTATTCACTATAGTTTTCTCCGATCTGGTCAAGCAATAACGGCAGATGTCTATTGTGCCGAACTCCGAACCATGTTGACAAAACTAGCAGTAAAACAGCCCCGACTCATGAATCGATCTTCACCATTATTGCTCCACGACAACGCGAGACCTCACACAGCACGAGAAACCATTTTGACCCTTCAGGAACTGCAGTTAGAAACCATTCGTCATCCTCCGTATTCACCAGACCTTGCTCCAACGGAGTACCATTTTTTTCGTGATTTGGACAATTATCTACGTGACAAGAAGTTTTCTTCCCAGGAGGCAGTACAAAATGCTTTCACACAGTTTGTGCAGTCTAGATCGTCGGAGTTCTATCGCAAAGGCATTAATAACCTTCCCATTAGATGGCAGCAATGTATAAATAATAATGGCAACTATTTTGATTAAATAAATTTGTTAAAAATTTAAAAAATAAACAATTTAGATTTTCAGTACAAATCGGCAATTTCATACTTTAACCCCTATTATTTATCGTAAGATCGAAATGACTGTCAATCAGACTTTCGGACAGTTTTGTTCGTCGTGTGCGTCTATTTAAAAGCGTGTACTCACATTCATAGCTCTCCACACAATTGACGTACTGCAGTTCACAATAATTAGTGAAGTTGGCGTATTGATGGTGGATAGAACGAGCGCAAAAACGTCCCGTACTGAAAAATATAAGGTTTATAAGGTTAAAAATAAGGTTTTCGACGTTGCAGTTTAAAACTTTAGAACAAAATTAAATGTAAAATGACATGACATAAATAGGTGTGACTATCGCTAAATCGTAGGCGGCGCCATCTGTGGCCGTAGCATAATAATAATAATAATAACGCATACACTCAACATAGCCCCGCACTAGGGAAACCCTGTGCCGCAGATGCCATGGACATACACAACCACAATTTACACGTAAGCTCGCGAGAGAAATAAATGTAGGCCATACAAATATTTCTCCCGGCCCGGCAATCGAACCTGGGACCTCTGCATGGCAGCCCGGTATGGTAACCGTTCGGCCACGGATGCAGTTATGTGTGATAAACCTTCCCGTGAAAATATTTAATTCAATTGATAATCTAAATTTTGAAGAACAAGGACAACGATATGAAATTGCATATATAGCTATCTTTGTCGTTTAATCGTCGGCATCATTGCGAAAACCATGAAACAAAAAAGTCTTTTCATTTCGTTTGTCGCGCTCAATTTTTACGTTGATAAAATTACTGTGTAAATGTTTTAAAATCAACTGTCTCCTTGAAGCCATGTGTGGCACTGTGTTAATCTTTTGCAGTTATTGGTAGCCGGTGCTCGCGATGATATAAAAATGTGACGTCACGGTGCTCGCCATGTTCGCTATGGTGATAAAATTTTAAAATACTGGTTTATCACTCGAATTTGACACCTAAATGTGGATATAATAGCTTTACGGGGGCTTTTTACTTTTAGTTATGCGATCTGCGGCGGCGTGATCGGCGTACTAAAAGTACCTATTCATTGTTTAAAATTTTAATGTGTTTTACACTTTAACTTGTACTTGAACGGCTCCGTAGTCCACATTTACGAAATATTATCAAGTTAGGCTCAACTCACACTGGGGCAGAGTTGAAGCGTCTCGTCCTGTTTTTCAACTACAACGCATGACTACAATTCCTATTTAGGCTAGGGTACTTTTCGAAGAAATTTTGTTCATACAGGCAGTCTAATAATTCTTTATTAGACTCGACTAAAAAGCGGCCGAAGGTAATAATAATATTGGGCGATATTATTCACCTTCACACACTTTCAGTCCCGATTTCTTTAGTAGTTCAAACTGTTTGAGCTTTAGTATGTCATCCTTACTTTCACTGCTGATGATAACTCCTCTACATTTAGTTTTACGCATACCGCTGATATGCAGCTTCATTTCTTCGGGCCTTATTAATTTCTGGATAGTTTTTTTTAGTATCTTCGCTTGAAGTATCTTTACGGGGCGGGTAAATAGCAACACTGCTCGTATTTGATGGGCATACTAAAGGCAGACCTCCTTTCCTAACTATATCAGCAAAAGATTTGTTTGATGGTGATGGTCTAGGGACTGTTTGCATGCTAGTTTTCAGGTCTTTTAATTGGGCTTCAACGTTCACTTGTTCCTTCAAAGTGCTAATCAAAGAATTGGGCGAAATATATTTTTGCTTCAAGTACTGGTACTGCACTGCCATTTGAGAGACATCTCCAAGTACTGACCTGCTAATATTACTGATTTTCAACTTCTGCTCAGAGTTTAATTTTCCTTCGCCAGAAATGGTGCAGATGTCATTCAGACATTGTTCTATTCGGACCATCCATTTCTGGATTTCCTGTGTTGAGACCGCGTCTATAGTCATCACAGACGCTGGAGCTGGGGATAGTTCTGGTTCCACGTGTCGTCTAACGGGAGGTGGACTACGACTCGTCATCGTACTTCTGCCGAACGGGCTATTCATTCTTCATACTTTGAAAGAAGCACAAGGCCGCACGTAACGTCACAAAACACAAAGTCCGAAAAGTGCTCAGACAGCGTTGGCACAGTTATACTTTTATTGTTATTTTAAATATCAAACATAAAATACTGGCAGACACGTCCGTCTCTGCTCAGTGCTCTAAAAAAAATTATCGGTAAGGCTTATTTTAAGAAATTTTCAATTTTCTGTTTATCGAATTTAGGTGTTAATCGTTCGTCGTAGTCCAGCTACTGGGCGCAAGATGGCAGCACGTTGAAAACGTCGTAACTTATAATAAATGTATCGAACTTTCAACGACATAACGACTGGGTAAAGTATAAATTATATTAATAATCCAGAATTTGTTACATCTTTTTAAATTACAAACAATATCAAGATTTCGTAGCGTTTATCATTTGTTTGGACGTGGATTTTGGCGACAGCGGTTCCGATGGTAATCGAGGCTTAAGGCAATTCCATTGTTTTTTTCTTCCGTGGGTCTAGTGTCAGCGGGTTCCGTAAAATGAATTATGATAGAACGAGATTTTTTTAAATGTTTTGTAAAAACTATACTCACTCCCAAATTTTAAGGCAGTAGTAGGCAATGTAGTCGCAAGTATGTGTGAAAGTCATTGGTCGGATTATAATCGTCGTCGTTGACCGCGTGGGCCGGACCCTGAAATACATATAAGTATGTTTTTTCTTCTATAATATCAATTGACGGGACGAACAAGACGGTAAGCTACACGCCTATCCTTGACAGTTACAGTACCGCTGAGACCTTTAAATCGCAAAGATCTGAGGGGCACTGCCATTGCGCCCATCACCCTGAGACATACCCTTACTCTTCAAAACCGAAACACAGTAATGCTGACATTACTGCTTGGCGGCAGAAATATGTAAGGTGGCAGTACTTCCCTGGACGAACTCTTTCACAAGGAGCTCTACTGCTACTAAAAAATGTATCAACAATGTAATAAATTACTCAGTACTAATACCACATCCCGGACACCCCATACAACAGTCGAAAGTTACTTACTACTACTACATACAGCAAGGCGCTGTCTGCACACGCGCAAAAATGTGTGCATGAAGTGGCAGGGTTAGCCAATACTTTCTCGTACTTATTACGTTATGTACGTAATTCTAACGCGAATCTGTTATCTATTAGAATTCTATTAATAGAACCCTAATAATTACACATGTTCATTACTTATATCTGTATAATATTATATTATTCATTAATTCACTAACTAGAATAATATTGAAGATTTAAAAAAATATATATATTAAAAGCACTTAAAATGTTATATTTTGGACAGGTACTTTTAAATAAGTTAACTAAGGTATTTGAAATTGCGTGTCCAAGTTTATAATTACATAATTAATAATTATGTAGGTATATTCACTACATAATATTTATCGGCAATACAAATTGAAAATTCGAGGACACAAGGGTCTCGAATTTTCAATTTGTAACGACTAAAAAGTCCTTGACAAAACCAAATACAAAATACGACGCAAGCACATTGAAAAATTCGTGAGGTCCGCTGGTTCGTTCCGTGGCTTAGTTGGTATAGCGTCTGGCTAGAAGACGTCGGTTCGAATCCGGCCGGATCCAAGGATTTTTTCTGAATGTTCGATCTTTGTATTAATAATTATAACAAACTAGTGGAGTAATTTCACAAAAAATAATTGAATATCATTCAATAAAAATTTAAAACACAGTGAATAGCGACATCTCTCGCCAGGGCTGGTAACTGTAAAGATATCTAACTGGGTGATAAGACTTTCATAGATTTCTCATAGATGGCGCTACGACTAAAAAGTCGTTGAAAAAACTAAACACAAAGATACGACGTAAGCACATAGAAAAATTCGTGAAGTCCGCTGGTTCGTTTGCATAGCGTTCGTGGCTTAGTTAGTATAGCGTCTGCCACGGTAAGCTAGAAGACGTCGGTTCGAATCCGGCCGGTTCGAAGGATTTTTTCTGAGTGTTCGATCTTTGTATTAATAATTAAAATAAAAATATCTAAATAATATTTGTGAATTAGCATTATATTCAAAATTCGAAATTTAAACATCGAAATAAATCTTCCTTTCGAACAGCACGCTGACAGCCTTGTTGCCGTGGCATTGTGACCGTCAATATGAGGGACGCGGTGTGGTATCTAAAGTTAGGGAGGGGCGGAGAGTGACCTTTCTCGTTACTTTTTGTTCACTGGCTATGCTAATACAGCTTACAGAAGTAATATTGCATATACTAGCGACAATACTTAGATTTTATTGAGGGATCGTCGGTTTACTTACCAGATAGTGGTCAATTTCCCGATGTCGCTGATCATCTTATTCTCATCGGTATTGGGTGTCACATCACTGTCATTGAACTTCAGGCTTTCCTCCATATAACCATCAATTCTACCTAAAATGACAATTGTGGTGTACAGGTATTCGTAACTGCGTTCCGGTTTGGAAGAGTAAAGACCCATTTAGATGGAGAGAGTTTCTCCCACGCTTCGTGACGAAAACTCGTAGGCGATTATCGTAAGCAATAATCGCCATAAGATTATCATATCATAATGTTTACATTCACGCAAGAACTAAAATCTCGCCTACGATTATGTCGCAAACAACTTAATCGCCTCCTCGACTGTTTACACAGAGAAATATATAGTAAGGAGATTCTTGCTTACGAGTTTTCGACTTGTCCAAACACGATCTCGTACGACATTTCTTCAAGTTCATACGATTATCGTACAAATCGGTTCGAATCGTTTTGAGTGCGAGAATCGCCATTCGAGTTCAATGATTACTGCGGTATTGACTAAGGACATTTCGAAATAAAGAAGTACTATCTTGGGTCGTAATGTAATTTTTCATTTTATTTGTATTTAGCTCTCTTAATCGTAATATATTATTTGTATTTTAGTAAGTAGTAAGCTAATTTAAGTACCGAGCTTGTTAGCTCATCTCTAGGTGGTTAAACCATTAAGTTTTTACCTAGCGTTAATGTAATAAAATAGTTAATGTCTTTGAAATTGAATAAATTAAAAAAAAAAGTTTATAAGGTGATGGGCGTAATGATAGTGCACATTAAGAGACGCTATTACCTCATCTCGAATTAAAATTTTTCCCGTACTAACACGGTTCATTTTGCTTGGGTCGAGTGGCACTGGCTTTATTTCAGAATAATTTTTTTTACAAATGTAATTAAAGCCACTCGAAAAATGTATATCGTATAGTATACGCGTTCTATTTAGTTCAGTTGATATTAAAAAAAATTGTATATTATATAGTTGTAAAATTTCTAGGTAAGTTTGTGTTTTTTTTTTCTATCGTGAACATTTTTGGGAATCGTGTTTTCACACCGTATAGTTATCAGTGTATATTCTCAATTTTAATATATATATGTATATCTTCCATAGTGATTGATTCAACAGTTTCACTGTTATCCGGAAGCAACCAAAGCCATTTGAAGTAGTATACACTCTTAAACCTTTGCGATCAAAGCCAAAAATGGCATTGCAACTGTTTATTTATTTATATTACATATTGCTTACAGTTAACCCAAACGCAATAATGAACAAACAGTATTAAGTAAATTGTAATATTGAATAAAATATGAAAATTTATAAAATTTTAAGCGCAATAACATAAATAATAAATTATTACTATCTATCTAATCTAACTGCTTCCGAGGCCGAACGGTTACCATGCCACGCTGAGGTCCCAGGTTCGATTCCCGGGCCGGGAGAAATATTTGTATGGCCTACATTTATTTCTCTCGTGACTTTGGGTGTCATTTGTGGTTGTCTATGTGTGTGTTAATGGCAGGGTTTCCCTAGTGCGAGGCTATGTTGAGTGTTTATTATTACAAATTAACATTAATGAAATAATAAATAAAATCCATTGGTTATTACATTTTAAACTAGCACATAATAGCTATTACATAATACTGCTGTCTCCGATTAAGGACTCCATATAGCGTTCTGAGCATGCAAAAAGGTCCAACGAGGAGTCAAAGTTATGCAACGGATGTAGGGGTAGAGGGGCCATCTCACTCACTCTACATCGTGTGATAGGTATTGCAAATAACCTCATTCTATGAAGTCGCACGAAATTCGTTTTAGGTACCAAAAAACCTGTCTTGGACAACAAAAATGGATTGTATATTATTGCCCGTACCAGACGAAACATGTAAGTCACTAGAGCCAGATTACGTGTCACTTCTAGCATTCTATAATTTACCTTACCTAAAATAAATGTTGTGGGATAAAGTATGGGGGTAATATCCATACATCTTCTTGTATAAATTTTGAACAAATGTATATCTTTTGAATTTTCTCTAACATTTGTGTGTGGCTGTGGTGGACGGGGTTCCAAATGATAGCGTTACATTCCAATTTGCTCCAAACAAAGGAGTTATACAAAAGACACGATATGAGGTTGTTTTTAACGACTTGGATTCTCTTAAGACGAAACAGAGATACTTGCGCGAAGTTTTACTAATTTTTGCGATATGTTCTCGAAAAGTGAACTCAGTGTCGAACCATGTGCCTAAGTCTTTGACTGATTTAGCTCTACTAATCCGAGTATCATTTATTTTGTAATCACTGATTATTTGTTTGCGAACACGAGAAAACAACATAATCGTACTTATCTCAACATTCAACCATAAACTATTAATAATAATATACATAAATAATGTAAAAAATAATATAAATATGAATAATATAAATATATTATTTCTTCCACACTCGTTCACGTTATCAATGTCCCTTTGCAAGAGCACACAATCAACATCAGACTTAATCGTCATGGCCAATTTGACATCTGCGAACATGAGACGCTCGCTTTGTCGGATAGTTGGTGGCAAATCATTTATTATAATTAAAAACATGAGTGGTCCAATGCATCTACCTTGACCTACACCAGAGTTCAGTTTACAAGGTAGAGAAAGGCATCTGTTGTACTATACATATTGAATATGCATACAGTTTTTTGAGAAACCGGTAAGTATTAATTTCTTTAGTAGAACATCATAATCAATTTGATCAAATGTTTTCTGAAAGTCTAAGTATACTAACGTCAACTTGCTTTCTGGAGTCTAGCTCGTCAGATTGATAAGATTGGAAGCTGTAAGAAATCCATGCTGTTGATCACAGAACCACCCCTTAAGTTGTTCACAAATAGAAATGTGCAAAACGGTTTCCATAACTTTTGCAAAAACAGATAAAACAGCCACGGCGCGATAATTTATTATTTCAGATTTGTGTTGTGGCCCGACCATCATTGGGCCCGACTTATGTATTGGTAGACCTTTTGACGTTTTCCAAACATTGGGATATGTATTGCATTTTAGGGACAAATTAATGATATGGGATTGGGGGTTAGTGAATGCTTCCCTGCAATGTTTTATCACTTTTGGAATACTGTATGGGCCTTGGGTAAGTTTACGCTTGAGTTGTTTCATAGCGCCATAAATATCAGACTTCGATACTTGGTCCACAAAAATATGTCGATCGGACAATAGCTGGTATGAAGATTGCTGGTAGGATTGCCGTAGCTACACCAGCAAAGGCATCATCGGGATTCAATATGGGAGCCGAAGTTAGATAGATGTTTCTGAAAAATGTCGTAACAAACTGGTGGAGTAATTACACATAAAAAATAAATAAATATCAGTTCAATAAAAATTTAAAATACAGTGAATATATATATATATAGTTATATGAATATATATATAGTTTCGGATCATTTGCCTATATATTTTGAGTGTGATCTAGGTACAGTTAAGCCTAAACTTGTGACTCAGGAACGCCCTCAGAGTGCAGTGATTTGGGGGGAAAGAGATGAATCGCAGAAAAACAGGTACCATGACCTTTGTCAGAAATACTTAAGAGATCTGGACTTTCCTTCTGAGTTCTCTGTGTGCGGCTTTGGGTCATGTAAATTGGCTGAGCATAAAATAATACTAGATAAACTGTATGAAAAAATAGTTTGTATATTATGTGATGCGGCGATACAGACAAAAAAGAAGGTTGTAACTAGTAGAAAAAAGAGAACCTTGTGTGGCTGGAATGATCATGTAAGAGAATCTCATCAGGAGGCCAGGCTTAACTTTCAAGTATGGACCCTCCATGGTCGGCCCAGGGCGGGATTCACTTACGACCGTATGTGCGAGACCCGTAGAGTGTACAAAGGACGACTAAAATGGTGTCAAAATAATCAGGAGCAACTAAAAATGAACGTGATTGCTAAGCACAGGTCTGATAAAAATTTTAGTCAATTCTGGAAATCTACAGGGAGGTTGGATGTCAGGCCTGGCCTCCCGGCGAGTGTAGCTGGTAGGGGTGACCCAGGGGAGGTAGCAAATTTGTTTATGCAGCATTTTAAGGTGCTGTCTCCACTGGGTGCCTCCGCTGGGTCGACCGACGCTGGGCCTGTCGTGCAGGGGGAAGAGCCGTTGCTAAGATTCACAGCGAGTGAGGTAAAAGCTGTCATTAAAAATATGAGCAGAGGTAAATCTCCCGGACACGATGGGCTCAGTATCGAGCACTTAAAGTATGCCGGACTGCATTTGCCAAGGGTCCTGTCTATGTTTTTCACTATGTGCATTAGTCATTCCTATCTACCAGATGATTTAATGAAAACAACGGTGGTGCCCATAGTGAAGAACAGGACAGGTGACATTTCAGACTTGAATAACTATCGCCCAATTTCTCTTGCGACCACGATAGGTAAAGTATTGGATAGTATGCTTGAATCATGCCTAGAAAAATATCTCAATCTCCATGATGCACAGTTCGGGTTTCGGCCTGGACTCTCAACCGAAAGTGCGATTCTGGCTCTCAAGCATACTGTCCAATATTACACTGAACGTAAAACACCAGTGTTCGCGTGTTTTCTGGACCTCTCCAAAGCCTTCGATCTCGTTTCCTATGATGTGCTTTGGAGGAAGATGGAGGACAGGGGAATGCCAGCTGAACTATTAAAAATATTCCAATATTGGTACAGCAACCAGACCAATCAAGTTAGGTGGTTCAACAGCTTCTCTCAGGCATACAGGTTGGAATGCGGCGTGAGACAGGGGGGATTATCGTCTCCAAAGCTTTTTAACCTGTATGTTAATGATTTGATAGTCGAGCTCAGTAGCATGCGTGTCGGCTGTCGTGTGGGGGATGTTTGTGTGAACAACATCAGCTATGCGGACGACATGGTGCTGCTGGGCCCGACTGCGAGGTCTATTAGGGAGATGTTGGCAGTCTGTGAGGTATATGCCGCATCACACGGGCTAATTTATAATGTTAAAAAAAGCGAGTTCATGGTCTTCAAGGCCGCCGGTAGGTGTCCAGAGTCATTTCCAGCGATTTCGCTAAATGGCATGAGGGTAAAACAGGTCTCTCATTTTAAATACCTTGGACATATTCTTGCCGACGACCTTAAAGATGATGACGACGTCGAGAGGGAACGCAGGGCTTTGGCGGTCCGCGGGAATATGCTGGCCCGCAGGTTTGCCCGCTGTACGGACCAAGTAAAAATTACGCTTTTTAAAGCGTATTGTCAGGGTCTGTACACGGGCGGCTTGTGGTTTAGCTGTTCACAAAGGTCGCTGAATTCCCTTCGCGTCCAGTACAACAACGTGTTCAGGATGATGTTGGGACTACCCCGGTACTGCAGTGCCTCTGCAATGTTTGCTCTATCCCATACAAGCTGCTTTAATGCGGTCTTGCGGAGAAAGATAGCATCTTTGGTTAGTAGGCTCCGGGGTAGTGACAACAGCATTCTGAGAGTTGTTGCAAACGACCACAGAGCGCCTGTATTGAGGCATCTCGTACGGACAATGATTCCGCACGAGATGCCTCGTAAGTACATGACATTTTAGTTTCTAAGTAATTTATAATTTGTAATTTCATACTAACAATAGTCTATAAGTTTGTTTTCTTTATTTTTACTAACACCAATGGATCCATGTTATCTGAGAAAAATAAATAATTTGAATTTGAATTTGAATAGCGACATCTCTAGCCAGGGTTGGAAGCTGTATAGGTATCTAACTGGGTGACGAAATACTTTCATAGATTTCTCATAGATGGCGCTCTATCTTTGTATTAATAATTATAACAAACTAGTTTTGTGTATAGTTATAAAAAGTTTTCTATTTCAAAATTTCTAAGAGGCTTCTCGAAATGAAGAGTGTTTTCGTCGTTATTGTTTATTTGTTTGCCCGATCTTAGAGAAAGGAACTGTTTTGTGAAGGCGTGTCGCTTACCACCAGACGCACGACTTCTTTCAGATATTATAAAAAAAAATAATAATAAACTGGGTATTAGATAGAAGATAGATAGATAGAATACATTTATTGACTTTCACACAATAATATGAAACAATAAATAACGAAAAAAAAAGAAGACAAAAAAAACGCAAAACAAAACATTCAAAATAACAAAAAGGTACGAAATCAAATAAATATGCAATAAATATATGTATTATTTAGCTGGTGATTCGCGGCGGTCGCTAGTGGTGGAAGTTATCCTAATTATCCTAACCTTTTGGTGGATATGTTTCGTATTTGACGCGTAACGCTTGTTTCGTCTTCATTTGTGGACTTGCTCGAGGTTTAGTTACATCGGCCGTCTCTTGTGACCCTGGTGCTTCTAACTGTCTTTCTGTTAGGTCCCAAAGTTTATGAGCCCGCTCTCTCATTTGTTTTTTCAGTCGCAACCATTCTTTTTGATCAAACGAAGATGAGACTTCTTTCTGAACACTATGCACGGGTGGCGCACTGAGTATGCGGTAATCTGGAATTAAATAAAACGTACCAGATAATTACGTGAATCACCGTGTACTTTGTTCTAATCTATAAACGTGCACTTGTTGGGTACTGGTCTCCTTCAAGAAGTCTGTATGCAATGTATAGGCAATAGTCCACTGCGCTGGCTCAATGCAAGTTTGGATTTTTCAAATAAAAATTTTCGAAAATATTGTTGTACCTTTTCGGCCATGCATGTTTTCGTTAGCTGTTAGCAATTGATAATTAGTAGGTAGACGAAATACATTTACGTAGCAGTAGAGCTTCTTGTGAAAGAGTTCGTCCAGGGAAATACTACCACCTTACCTATTTCTGCCGCCAAGCAGTAATGTGAGCATTACTGCGTTTCAGTTTTCAAGGGTAAGGGTGCTGGTGAAATTACAGGTACATGGACTTCTCAATTTATGTCACAGAATGACGGGCGCAGTGGTAGCACTCCTCAGATCTTTGGACAGGCGTGTCACTTACCACCAAGCCCATGTACCGTTACTTGGCCTCATAAACAAGCCTGATCTCAAACTGGAATAGGGAATAATACAGGGAGAAATCAACTTTTTAATGTTTCTATATTGTACCTACACTATGCTTATGCAATCTGATTTGTATAAATATGTTGTTTACCATTGCCAATGTCGAATCGTAGAATTGGAGAAATTCTAGAGAAAAGAAAAACCAGTTCTATAGTGCAGTACGTACACGAAGCGACTCCGAAACTACCGCTACACACTATCACTTGAAGCCACGCCTGTCGTTACATCAAGGTATTTCTATTGTCGATAGAAGTAACTATGAGTTTCACGCCTGGTAATATTAAGATATGACGACAAGTAATTCTTAATATACATATAGTGTCAGATGAGGGCAACGCCCATAAAGTACATTGCGCGTTCGAGTTCGTCGTACATTGCGGTAGTGATTGGACTACCTCTTCGTGGATATTATTTCCTAGTAACGCTCTGGTACTAAGAGGAGAAGGGACGACGGTGACGTGGGTGATGAAAGGATTTCCCTCAGAGAAGAAATAATGCAATGCAAACAATTATTAGATCTTTGCTTAGTGCTCAAGAGAATGAACTAAAAAAGATATCTTCAATTTTATGGATTTCACAGTGCCTGTGGTAAAATAACTGTAATGCTTTGAAATTGTATAAATAAATAAATAAATAAATAAATAAATCTTCAGTCATCATGGAAATAAAGGAGACAACAAAAATATAGAAAAATCCATGGAATTTCTTACAGCCCAAAACACAGAATTCCTGAAACGAATAGTGAAGCTGGAGGAGCAATGTAAGACTGATAAAGAATACGTTGCACTACTCGAAGACAAAGTAGAAGACCTGCAAAGGGAACACCGAAAGACCCATATGGAGATCAAGAACAACACAAAGGAGTCTAAAGAAGATCTTATAAATATGGTACTTTGGCTCTCTAATACTATTGGCTGTAATAATTCAAAAGCAGACATAAAAGATATTTACAGAATTCAAGGTAAAAGGGACACTAAAATAAAGGCACCTATAATAGTTGAGACATCCTCTACTATTATGAAAACTGCGACATCAAAACAAAATAAATCTTTCAACATCAGAAATAAACAGAAACTCTGTGAAACATCTGGGGTTTGCAAAAAATGAAAACGATCCTATTTACGGTTCTGAACAACTGACCCCGAAGGCTGCCCGGTTATACTTCCTCGCACGCGACGTATCTAAATCTAAAAGTTATAAATTTTGCTGGACTACCTACGGAAGGGAGGAATATGAAAAACTACGTTTGTGAGGAAGGATGAACAATCTCCAATAATTGCTATCAAAAGTGAGGCTCAAGTGCACACATTAATACAAGCAATCTGGCTAGTTCTAATACAATATTTGCTTTTTTTACCTATTTTTCTATTGTGTAGGTTTATTTCACAGTTTTTGTATTTTTTGTTCTTCTGATTGCCATGATCTCTGTTGTAAGGTATTTCATGCTGAAGTTGTTACTTTTCTGCACCATAACAATCGTACATGTACATAGAAACTCGCACACAAACTCAATGACACAACGAACACATCACACGTAATCCATTCTTTCTTACACACTCTAACAATATACTACAAACTATTTATAACAGAACTACTCACATATCACCTCCAAGTACATAAAATGCAACAAATACAAAACCATACAAAAGTGCAAACAATACTTAACACAAGTCATCATCTGCTCACCCAATCATGCAATCACATACCGTGTAAAACTGAAAAAAAAAATCGACAATCGCACTTTTTTATGCATTCCTATAAATGGATAGCAATCTCACACATTTAAATGAATTGGACGATCTTGTGGTGGTCAAAAATTATACTGTTTCGGTAGACGAAGTGTCAAATCATTTGGAAGTAAACGACTAGGACCTTTAAATAATCTCCCAAAACATACATATGTAGCATCTACAGTAACCTAGACAACATTCTTGTGTCATTATCTAAGCTTCAGCTTAAAGCAGACATCTTAGTGCTAACTGAATGTAGTCTGAATCTCAATAAACCAATCCCTCAAATACAAAATTATACGGGTTATTCTACTACTAAACATGTCAATAATGTGACGTTAGATTTAGATAGTGTTGAAGAAATCATGCTAAATCAAGCATCATGTTTACAAATAACCGTAAATAACATAATTATACTTGGAATGGTAGATTCCAGCCCCCCCTCAAATGCTAATGCTATTGGCTTTATTGATTCTCTTGATAAACATCTAGCAACAATGACCTCCGCTAATAATATAGATAGTTCTAACAGGAAATATAAACATAAACCTCATACTTAGTACTGATGAAAACTCACAAGTACGCAAAAATAGAAATAATTACCTTGACATGCTAGCAATGCATGGTATCCTACCAGGTCACAAGTTACCTACTAGAAAAAAGAGCTGTTTGAACCACTTCATGTTAAAGATGGACACTCTACATAAATCTGCCGCTATAGCTGTTTTAGACACAACAGTGACTGACCATTTCATGATTTTTCTAAAAATATCAAATATAACAAAAAATTACTCGTGCTCTAAAACTAAAACATGTATTGATTATGATAAAGCTTTATGCTAATAGAAGAATGCAATCTATACGAACTACCAAACTAACCCTAACTGTTAATATTAACTGAAAGCTTAATAAATAGCCTGAAGAAATGTATTTTGGAGAGCACAATAATAAGGCCTGTCCCTTGAAAAGTGCGTCTTATGAAATCCTGGATAACCGTTGGTCTGCTAAAATGCATCAGAATAAGAAACAACATGCAAAGAAAATTGAGATCGGATCCAGAAAACAATATTCTTAAAATTTCGTATAGGAGATACCGAAATTTTGTCACTAATTCTATTAAACAACTAAAACGAAATTATGATAGAGAACAATTTAATAAAGCTTAAAAACATCCGAAAAAGCTATAGCATACTATTGATAACTTTACAAATCGCAAAGGTAATAAAAGTTCAAATACAAAATTACTAGAAACTAAGTCCTTGCCCATAGAATGAGTTAATTACAACTATTAATACAAAGATCGAACACTCAGAAAAAACACTCAGAAAAAATTCCTTCGATCCGGTCGGATTCGAACCGACGTCTTCATACGTCTTGCATACCGTGCCAGAACACGTCTGGCACGGTATGCAAGAAACGACTGTTCGATCTTTGTATTATAATTATAACAAACTAGTGGAGTAATTTCACAAAAAATAATTGAATATCAATTCAATAAAAAAATTTAATTAATGAGTTAATTACGTTAATAATTACTTTGCAGACGTAGGCATAATATTAGCGGAGAACATTGATACTGCACTTTCTGATTTATGACCAAACGCATTATGTGTTTGCACATCCTTTGCACTTTTAAGAGCAGATTGTCAAGAAGTTTATTCTACTCTGATGGACCTCAAATCCGATAGTGCGCCTGGATGCGATAATGTCTAGCCTCCAAACATGTCGTAGCCGTAATCACGCACTTGGCTAACCTCTGCTTTGAACGAGATATTTTCCCACTTGCTTTAAAAATTGCCATCATCACGCTAGTGCACAAGAGTGGAAACAAAAACACACCTAGTAATTATCGACTCATATCAGTCCTAACAGCTATTTCCAAAATAATTGAAAAGTTGATAAACTCACGACCAACCAGCTACTTGAATACAAAAAACCTCTTGTTAATTATTCAATACGATTTTCGCCAAGGTGTGTCAACAGACGATGCACTGTCGACCCTTGCCACAAAAATTGTTACCCAGATAGACGCTGGGTATATGACAAAAAACTTATACAAGATATTTACATACTACTAGCAGTTCAATCAGTTCAAGCTACTGCTTGCCTGTTTGGGGTGGAGCAAATAAAACGAAGTTTCCACACTTGGAGAGGGCGCAACGATCCTTGTTAAAAGTAACGAATTTTAAGCCATATAGATTTCCTACAGATGCCTTCTAGCTTGAAACTAATGCCTTTACGGTTAGGAAGTTATTTATCTTACAAACCATCCTTAAAACTCATAAAACTTTACACTTGATCCTGCCCTTCTCCAGAGACGGCGGCATTACAAGGTAGCCCACGAGATTGGGGTACGTACGACCTTTGCTCAAAGATAATTTATAAAATTATCCACCTATCTTTACAATATTGTGAACAGAAAAAGTAACATTTATTTAAAAACTTCCCGGGAAGTTAATAATACTCTGGAGGACTGGCTTAAAACAAAAACGTATGATGATATTGAGGCTCTAATAAAAATTGGTAAGTAGCCCCCATATACATTGCTTGGCTCGTATAAACTAAAGAAAAAAAAGTAAGTGAATAACAAAATATTTCACTACATAACTAGATAATAGTACTCATAAGTTCTGCTACACGCGCGTGCAGTCTCACACATTCACACTAACTTACACATACACACCACACACACCACACACACACACACACACACACAACACACACACACAACACACACACAACACACACACACTATAACTTTTATTTTGAATTTGCACATGAAGATCACATATTCTTTAAGTTTTTCTGAATAATTTGTTTTAATTGCCTTATTTATGGATATAAAAATAAAGATTGTAACTTCGGGATTCTAACACAAGTAATTTTTACTTACAAGTAGCCCCAACACCGGATACTGTAATTGTTTTATCTAGTAAATAAATGCCTTTTTGTTTTTTTTTTTCAATTTCGTATTTCGTATTTTAAATACATATAAGGAAGTATTTTGTAATTTATATTTCAATTAAGACGTAGCATGTACATATTTTGCCCAGCCCTGTTATTAACCAATCAACAAATTTTGCAGATTACTTTTCAGCCGCCCGCCACCCGCACTATATTTGTCTTGTTATACTATGGCTGTAGGTACGCTGTCTCCTGCACAATATTACCTCGAGTGGAGATGACGTTTAAATGTGCACACCTGTGTGAACAAATACTTCTACTTACCATTTATACAACATAAAAACAACACAATGGATTGGCCCCCATACATTTTATTCCATATATGTATTACATTTATTAATCAAAAGCTTTTGGGCCTAAATCCATAATTTGAAGGTACTTTTTATCGATCTCTATATTCGATAGAAGCTGACAGAAGGTTCTAATTTTATTATGCCTTCCATGTTCATATTGTCGCCTCTAATAATAATAATTTGAGTCAATCTGTGCTAATATTTAGCTAAATATTTACTTTTGCATTCACGTAATGTTACAAAAATACTTATTTTATTACACACTTATTCACGTGAGATTAGGAATTTATGTAATTACATTTCAATGTCATCTGCAAGGCGGACGTTAAATTTACTCGTACTTTATCACCGCACGATAACGGAAAGCAGTAACTGCAAATAGTAAATCACTCAAGCGTAACAACGAAATAATAATGTTGAAAATATCATACAGTATGAATGAATGCGCTGTAGGCGTTTTGTTGGTAATAATATATCATCATTTTCAACATCATCAACTCTTTTGTACGTCCCACTGTAGGGAAAGGGTCTCCTCCAAGGCGAGGGGTTTTAGGTCATGGTCCGCCACGCTGGCCCAATGCGCGTTGGGGACATCTCAGGTTTACTGATGGTTATGACCTACCGCCTCTCAAGCAGAGGCCGTGGGTTTAAATCCGGGCTCGCACCTCTAAGTTTCTTGTAATTTAGGTGAAGTAAAACAGAGTGTGGAAACCTGCACTTCGAAGAAGGTTTACAACCCTCAGAAAACCTGTGAAGCTCACAACCCACTTTGGGCGAGCGGACTATCGCTTTAACACTCGCCTGAGAGCTAACCCGTACGCAGGGGACGTATGAATGGGTTGTTGTGGTGATGTAACGTTATCAGTTTTGAGAGCCATTTCTACTCCAGATCTCAGCGATTTTTTGTACCTATCTACATGGGCGGTAGTATCGCAGAACTTCAAAGATGCTACTATAAGGAATTGCAATACTATACCTCGACCGTAGAGTGTGAAGAAGAAACTTTTTTTTTTATAAAGTGGCGGTGACCACTGCGCCCGTCACCTTGAGAGATAAGGTGACAAGTGACCTATATGGTATCTGTTATTATAAGGTTAAAGTAAGCAGTAGAGCTCCTTTGAGAAAGAGTAGTTCGTACAGGGTACTAGCGTCTTTGAAGTTCTGCGATACTGCCGCCCGTGTAGGTACTGTTATGCAAAGGTTTTCATAAAGTGGAAAATGAAGTAACTGTGATTTATTAACAATATAGTCATTTATTAACAATAATAGATAAGTATTAAAGATTTACATGTGTCGCTCTACTAAATATTTACCCTGACATTTTATTTTTGCGTGTTTGTGCGTAGTATAATCGCATTCTAACGTAGCAGCGCGGTTGGTATCTGTGCACGCCGGTCGCCATATACATTCGTAGTAGAGTTCCTTGTGAAAGAGTTAATCCAGGGAAGTATTGAACCTTACCTACCTATTTCTGTAGTCAAGCAGTAATGTGAGGATTACTACGTTCCGGTTTCGGTTAGTGCTGATGAAATTACAGGTACATGGGACTTGTCAACTTATATCTCAGGGTGACAGGCACAGTGCCCCTCAGATCATCACTGTAACAGCTATAAACAGGCGGTCGCTTAACGCGTTCACGCTTTTTGGGTGTTGATATGGTTAGCGCGTTTTTGTAGTGCTGCTGGTATGTTTGTGGAGGCGCAGACTGGCAGCTTCTCGGCGATAATGCGCAAGAGGTGTGCCTCAATGAGCCGCCGCCTGCGTGACAGCACCAACTATATCCTGGGGGTGTTCGCGGAGCGCGAGAACTCAGCAATGCTCGCCCACTGGTCGCGATTGATGCAGTCATGTAATACTAATATTAATCTTAAGATCACCAGTAATATTAACGATAATAATAACAACAAAGCATTCACTAACGCCCTATATCCCCTCACTCTAAACCAGCAAAAGACGATCAGACATGGTTTGTTCCACTGAACGAATTCGAAGTGCACTCCCTTAGATATTTTTGCTTTCTTGGTAGCGTTTTGTATAATAAAATAAATCGTTCACTATGTATCAGTGGCGAGGCGTCGATATAACTCGATTCCCACCGGCTTGCCTAAAATTTTCCACGTATTATTAAATATTTTAAAGTAATTTACTATGTTGTGCTCTATTTTAGGCGTAGAGTAACTTAACCAGTAAACGGAAGAGTAATTGTATCTTGTGTGCTAATAAATGTGTTTCAGTTTCACAAGTACAAAGAGCAATATGATAAGATTTCCAAAAAAATTAATCATAATAATATAACAAATAAGCTTACGCTAAATTGACATTATATTTTAACATATATATGCATTGCAAACGTGATGTCATGCCTACGAGCACTACACTCGGTTGCTGTTGTTCCACACTAGGCAGAGCCTGTCCTGTGGCGACCCTATTACGATTTCATTGAATTAAGTGAATTTTGACAATGGTATTATTACGTTACATTGTGATTGTTTTAATATTAATAATAATTTAAATATCTTACAATGTATTTAATCTAAAATAAACAAGAGGAAAAATAAACAGAAAAGAGTGTTTTTTGAGTGTTTTTTCTGAGTGTTCGATCTTTGTATTAATAATTATAACAAACTAGTGGAGTAATTTCACAAAAAATAATTGAATATCAATTCAATAAAAATTTAATTAATACAGTGAATAGCGATATCTCTCGCCAGGACTGGTAGCTGTAAAGGTACTAACTGGGTGATAAATCTGTCATAGATTTCTCATAGATGGCGCTACGATTAAAAAGTCGTTGAAAGACCAAGTAAAAAAAAAGACACGACGCAAGCATATAGAAAAAATCTCGTGAGGTCCGTTGGTTCGTTCCGTGGCTTAGTTGGTATAGCATCTGGCACGGTATGCAAGAAGACGTCGGTTCGAATCCGACCGGATCGAAGGAATTTTTTCTGAGTGTTTTTTCTGAGTGTTCGATCTTTGTATTAATAATTAAAACAGAAAAGAATTATGAAATGTTATGTGGTTTTTGTTTTGCTCCGACGTTACTGACGACAATATTCACGCCTCGCCACTGCTATATGTATATATCCCATGAATAAGTTTCAATGTAAGAAAACCATACAAGACTAACCATAAAAGGATTAAACTATTTGTTTATATATGATTAACAGTTGTTAGGTAATATTAATAATAGTTAAGATGCTAGCTAATGTAAGTAAGTATTCATGTTTTATTGTAATTTATTGTTATTGAACAAAATATGTTGACTAATCATTATGCTATACCTAATCACCGATTTGGATACCTAAGATACAAGTAAGCAATTATACTTAAGGTATCACCTTGGTTAACTTGCACTACAAACCCTAATTAAAGTTATATAAACATACAATAATTTCACTGTTTTCAATAAAAGGTTATTTAATAACATTCATGTATTGAGGTAAAATTTTTATATATATCATGTATTTAGAATAAATTTATCTTTATAATATACATATAAGTACAAAAGTATGTAATAAATTATTATTATATTTCTCGAGCTAGTGTAAAGAACACCAGCTCGAGTATGTCACGTCTGATTTCCTTGGTAACATCATATAATATTGAATAATATTTCAACAATAAATATTTTGTATTGGTATTTCAATTTATACGTAAATATTTATTTTATAATCGATGTTTCAGATTCTTTCGAGGTGTGGCAATTATTGTACTTTGTGTAATATTCTATATTGTCATTACGCATCATGGAACTATCTTTTTAAATGCATTATAAATATTTTGCAATTTATATTTTAATTAGATAAGTATAGCATGTAGGTATTTTGCTCATCCTTGCTTAATAATATGCTTAATATACGTCTAATTTATCCGTCACCATTTCTTCGCCCAAAAACTCGTCTCCAAAGTACGCGTAGTCTGAAAATAAAAACGTTAATTATAAAAACATATAAGTACTCTTATAAATACTTATCCGTGAGTAAAATCCAGAAATAGTATCTATCTTATGTACAACTTTGTTTCCATTGTTTTAGGGTTAATTAGAATAATAACGCATAGAAACCTAGTCCGCACACGCTAAGTGAGGCAAATTGAAGCGCTCCCAAAGGGCCTACACGAGCAGGCGGGCCGTCAGTGCTCAAGGTCAACTTGCACCGCGAACAGATCAAGAATTTTAGCTAAAAATGACGAAATGTGCGGTAAATGAGTGTAAAAATACGTCAGACAAACATAAAATAGATACTAATATCACATTCCACAAGGAAGTAACGCGTTTCAACTTGTATTTTTATATAAATATTCACTAAAACCGAAAATTAACCTACTACAAAAACTAGCCTACATGAATTTGATTTTTGCCTCACTTGAGACAGTTCATTTGATATGAAACTATCATTCTATGCGTTATGATTCTAAGGGTTAAACGGAATCATTTACAAACATTCATCTCTCAGATTCAATGCTGAAATATTGGTCGCATTTCTTTTTATAAGAAAATAAGTGCGCATTTGACCTCCATCTCACCTGATGGAAAGTGATGACAAGGCCGACGATGTAGCATGCACACCTAAGTAATGTAACTATACGTAACTAATAATAGTATAAGTAGTAAACTAACACCAGTGATCCAAACTGATACAAAAAAAAACTTTATTATTATAGATAGGTGTGGTTGTCTGACGCGCTATTAAACAAACAATTTACAAATGCTTTAATACCGGTAATCTAAATTATTAATAATACTTGTATGTTTTAAAAAAATATTGTAAATTCTATTATAGACCATGCACATTTTGTTAATTTTTGAAAGCTCTACGACGCCTCGCTGCTCAGAATTTAATTTTGAATTCGATTAAACGTTGTAACTTGGTTGACTACATCAACAAATCTACTTACGGCTGTATATGGTTAAAGGCATAGCTTCATAACACTTTCCCATGTGAAGCATATTCCACACTGAAAAAAATTGTAAATAAATAGGTATTATTATAAAATTATGTATGTTAGGTATATATTTATGGGTAAGTTTACAACGTTCGCCACAAATGAGGCGAGCGGATTACAATTTTATTAATTTATTTATATTCAGGTTACAAAGACCTATAAATACATTCCTTATATAGACTAACATACATAGTAATATAATGAAAGATTAACTACTATTATTTATTATTTATACGTTTATTAATAAATTTTATTATTTTTTTTATATTCAGGTTACAAAGATCCACAAATACATGACACCCTTTGATCAAAATTTCTCCTTTTTGAAGGCCGACAGATGTTGCGTTGGTACTCTCAGCACCAATGAATTAAAATTTGTGTTGTGTTATGTGCAATTATGAAACCAGAAACAAGTGTGGTTTGGAACTATTTTGTTGAGATATTAGTATGTACACTTCTGCTTCCGTTTCCATTAAGATTTACTTCTGACATCTGTTTTAGTTTCTGTTTCCGTAATGACATTTCTATTGCATCACTAATTCAAATACAAAGTATTTGAAGGGCTTGGAATTGACTTTAACGCCGAAAATTATTGTAGAAAGCATTTGCAAAGAATGTACGACTATATAATCTCAGTACAGAGTACTAAAAAACCGATCTCAAAAGTACGTGGAATTACATATATTTGATAAGTTTTACTGAAATATCCCCTAGTTCGCCACTATAAGGGACTTGACCCAGGAGATAATAAAAATCGGTTCTCACTACTCAAAGTATATTGAGTAAGAAAAATGCCTTGAATTGGAAAATAGTCAAACCAACCATTAAAATAATTGCTCTTAAGTAAAATTTTGGCGCTATTTATAAAAATGAATGCTCATGCGTGATCAGCCCTTAGAGGTAGATGATTTTCTTCAAAATGAAATGGGACCACTGTGGATGTACCCTCTTTCCAACAAAAAAGGAATCATGAAAATCGGTTCACAAATACCGGAGGATAACTCCGTAACATTCATACAAAAAAACAGTCGAATTGAGAACCGCCTCCTTTTTTTGAAGTCGGTTAAAAATATATTATTTGGTGTAGAATACAAAAGGTTAACGTTTACCTTCTAGCTCTTCTACGCAATTAACAAAATCCATTAAACAATAGTTAGGGTATGTAAGGTATGTGAAATACATAGTACGAGCGCATAATGGTCCAGTTCTGAAAAAAAATTAGGAAATTATTAAATTTATTAGTAAACAGGCTGTATGTATGTAAAAATAAAAAGTTACAAACAAAATTATGTAGGTCCATTTGACAGAAGTGTTTTTTTTTTTCGTTTTTTGGCTTACTCATCTATAGGTACGTTTACAAAATTTAGGACACGCATTTAGGGAAAAAACTGATCGGAAGAGGAATGGTTTGTCGTTGTGTTTAATTTTGTCTTTTATACGCTGCTGTAAGAACATGTTTGTGAATTTCGATCGCTATAGATAGTTATTCAGCAACATCGAGTTCAACCAGAAATAGAGACGAAATGTTATTTAGTTTGTTTGAAAACTTTTATGCCATATCATTACTGTGACAACTGCGCTCCGATTGGCCAGCCCGAGTTCGAAACAATTGACGAGTATCGTCAATTGTTTCACTTCAAATCGACCAGTTAACTTGAGCTATGCTACAAGGGATTTCAATTGCAGAATTACATATTTAATATTTAATTACTGATGAAATGTGATTCCGTTTGTTTTGTAATTAGATGTTTTGCAGTTTTTCCCACACCACCGAAGAGAACAGTACGGCATTGTTAGACATATTATCTTCATTACAATAAATACAGAATATTTTTTGGAATATACGGAGAAGTACACACAGGTCAGCATTGGCCTGTCTTTATTTTAGTGCAAACGGGAGTTGATATTTATAAGAGCTGTATCGCTAATGTGTTACCAGAAATATATGGCCCTTATTTCGTCTCTATTTCTGGTTATATACTCGATGTTCAGCAACTAAAATAAATGACAGAAAGAGAAATTTTCTAGGGACCAACCAGTGCAACGCTGCCACTATCACTTCTCATCTTTATCAACTTTTGTCATCATCATTGTCATATCAACCGGAAGACGTCCACTGTTGAACACAGGTGTCCCCTAAAGATTTCCAGACCAGCCGATTGGACACGACGTGCATCCATCGGTTACCCGCCGCCCTTACCAAGATCCCGATTCAGAACTCTTCGACATTTTAACCGAATCGTTCGATTGGATATCGTTTTCGAATCGAAGGGCGCTTTCCGAGCTACTCAGAACATTTGAGTTAAACGTTAGATTCGTATTCGGATACGATATCGTTATCTAACAGCGTTTACGTAGTTAGTCGGTAAAATTGATTATAAGAAAAATTAAAATCCATCCTAAGACTATAAAGGCCAAAAATATAGGAATGCGTTAGTCTTGCATTAAAATAAATTAATCAAATTGAACAAAGTCTAGCCTTTCTTTAAAATATTAAGAGATTTCCATATTACATTCTTGCTTTGTAAACAATAGGACATTCGGAAACTTCCATTCGATAATTGTGTTCTGAATAACGTTTGTAACCTTTGTCGGTCGACAAGTTCAAGTAATCGTACGGGTGTGACGTTATTTCGGTTCAGTTTCGAATACGACAGTTTGATGTTCGAAACATGAAAAGAAATCGGTCCACAACTGAGTCATCGTCAGATTCTGAATCGACCCCTAGGTCATCCGTCCATCTAGTAGGGAGCCTTCCCACCGAACGCCTTCCGGTTCCGCGAACCTTCTGCCCAAACGGCCATCAGTTCAGTTCAACAATGTGGTGGTCAGAACGGTAACGTTTCTTCCGGTTGAAATTAATTATTATTTAAACAAATATTGTTGAGGTAACAAAATTACGAAATTGATGTTATAATTGTGCGTTTCAACAGATACACCGTTAGGTCTACGTGAGGTGGTAGTATATTGAGGCGTTGTGGCCGCCATAAAGGAAATAATACTATATTGAGCTATCGATAGCATTTAATAATCTTACGTATAAGCTCTCATGCACTTGTCCTTGAGGTGCACGCAATGATAATAGCTTTGTGGTCTTGATATTGTCGACGGCGGTGCCGGTGTAGTACTGCAATAACACAAATAAATGTGCCAGATAAACTAGTCAATTAAGGTTTTTAATACCACATCTGTGGTGCAAAAGGTCACACCTGCAAAATTACAACCTTTCAAGAGAGAGGTACAAAGATTCCACGAATGAAATTAGTCGATAACTTTTTATGCATAAATAGCGAAATTATGATGAAAAGCACTTTTAATGCATGTGGTTTTATTATACCAATGGTACGACACATCGAGTATATAACCAGAAATAGAGACGGAATGTCATTAATTTGTTTGAAAACTATTCTGCCCAACAGTGTCAACTGCGCTCCGATCGGCCAGCCCGAATTCGAAACAATTGACGGATGCCGTCAATTGTTTCACTTCAAATCGACCAGTTTAAATTGAGTTTTGCTATAATGGACGAAAATTGAAAAATTACATATTTAATATTTAATTACCGATAAAATGTGATTTCTTTTCTTTTGTTATTAGATGTGTTGCTGTTTTTCCCACACTACCGATTAGAACAGCCCCCTGTTGTTAGAGATATTATCTTTGTTACAATAAATACAGAATATTTTTGGAATATATGAAGACGTACACACAGGTCACTTGTTGGCGCTGTACTATTTCAGTTTTCGAATTTGTGATTTCAGCGCAAACGACAGTTGACATAAAAGTAATGTAAGGCACATTTGCCTGATGAGTTGCCAGGGATGGATAGTTATTTTGTCTCTATATCTGGTTATACATATATTCGATGTATTTCTCTAAATTTTCTTTTTTCTATAGAGTCAATAATCATACTCCTATAATTTCCTTGATAATGACTATAAACTGTATACATCAAAATAACACTTATTCCGAAGTTATATCATGTCGTACCGACATGATGATTATGACGACGTGATGTCGACCGACATTATATAACTTCGGAATATGTGTTATTTTCAGGTATTCAGTTTACAGTTTTTTATTTTTTTATTAGTTTATTATTATTATATTATATAAGTATAAGTACTTAGCCATATAATATTTGTTCAATTTGATAAGTGTGTATAAAAGATTACATACGTACTCATGTGAAGTCAAACCTTTTTAGCGAGAAAGTGACTCATAAGTATGTTTAATAATATGAAGTATAAATATAAACAGAATTACGGTGGTATACTAGTAGCGGTCATGTCGAATCTAGGCTCGTTTGAATGGTATCCGTCCGGAAAATTGCCTTCAAAGCTACTATTGTCACTTCTATCCTTTCCCTTTCCACCTTCATCCTTTCCCTATCCATAGTCACCTCCCTTCCCATTCATCATCATTTTTCCCTATCCATCGTCATCCTTTGACCGTGAATATGAGGTACGCGGTGTTGTATTTAATGCTAGGGAGAGTCGGAGAGTGACCTTTCTCGTTACTTTTTTTCTTCTTTTTTCTCTGGCTATGCTAACATAGCTTACAGAAGCAGTATTGCGTTTCCTAGTGACAACAAACAAATATTATATTCAGTGATCGTCTGTTTACTTACCGCGGAGTGGTCGTTTTCTCAACAGGGCCGATCATCTCATCCTCATTGATTTTGGGTGTCACATCATCGACATCCCAGTTGAACATTTTCTCCATGTCGCTATCAATTGCACCTAAAAGCACAATGTGAGGTATAGGTATTCGTAACTGCGTTCCGGGTGAGGGTGATAGCACAGTGTAACTAAAGTAAGGGTGAAATTACAGGCACAGGACTTGTTAACTTTTTGTTTCAGGCTGAGTCGATACTATCTAAGCTCAAATTCAAATTTTTTCCGTACTAATACGATTCATTTTGCTTTATTTCAGAATTATTTTTTTTTTATAAACGAAATTAAAGCTATTTGAAAAATGTATGCCGTATAGTATAGGTACGTTCTATATAGTTCAGATGATTAAAAAAATCATTGGTATAAGTAAAGTACCTATTGAATACAGCGGGTTTCTTGTAAGATTTCCATTGACTTACAATTATATGGACGTCGGGTCCGCGCTAAAAAGTGTCCGAACTTATAGGACGTTAAAATAGCATGACAGAGCGTCATTCACGCTTTAGTCTTCGTTTGTTCGACTGACAGCGAAGCAAGCAAAATTAGACAGTACTGCGATGACATTACAATTTAAATTCAACGTTTTAGCTTTTTCATATTCCTTTACATGTGCTACTTTAAATAGGTTAACTTGGGATATTTTTTTCGTGGTTTTTGTATTAGACCCGTCGTCCATTTATTTGTAAGTCAATGAAGATTTCAAAGTAAGCTCGTGTTCCTTTTTATAGTGAAAATTTTCCGGAATCATGTTTTCACACCGTATAGTAATCAGTGTACATTCTCAATTTTACTATATATTTTTTCCAACGTGATTGATACGACCAAAGGCATTTGAGGCAGTATAGACTCTTAAACCTTTGCGATCAAAGCCAGAACTGGCACACCAACTGTTATGTGAAGGGGTGTCGCTTACCACCAGACACTACTAAAGAACAGACTACTTGTTCTTTCCGATATTATAAGAAAAATAACTGGGCCGCGGCAGTCGCTAGTGATGGATGTTACCCTAACCTCTTGATGGATCTGTTTCGTATTTGGGGCGTAACGTCTTCGTACTTGCTCGAGGTTTAGTTACCTCGGCTCTCTTCTGTATCCCTGCTCCCTCTAACTGTCTTTCTGCTTGGTCCCAAAGTTGGTGAGACCGCTCTCTCATTTGTTTTTTTAGTCGCAACCATTCTTTTTGATCAAACGAAGATGAGACTTGTTTCTGGACACCGTGCACGGGTGGCGCACTGAGTATACGGTAATCTGAAAGGAATTTAATAAAAAGTGCCAGAAACACACTTGTATCACCGTGTATTTGTTCTAATCTATGAACGTGTCCTTGCTGGGCACTGATCTGCTCCAAGACTGTGTAAGCAATAGGCCACTACGCTGGCTTAATGCAAGTTTGGACTTTACGTGTCTTCGAAAATGTTGTTGTACCTTTTCAGTCATGAATGTTTTTGTTAGCTGTTAGCAATTGATAATTAGTAGATAAACTGAATACATTTTCGTAGTAGTAGAGCTCCTTGTGAATGAGTTCGTCCAGGTACCTACTGCCACTTACCAATTTCTGCACTAGGGAGTAATGTAAGCATTACTGCGTTCGGTTTTGAAGGGTAAGGATGCTGGTGAAATGACAGGCACATGGGACTTCTCAGCTTACGTCTCATATCTTTGCGATTTAAAGCTGTGAGTGGCACTGTAACTGTTATGGACAGGCGTGTCACTTATCACCAGGTGCTCGACTTGTTCGTTCCGTCACTTGATATCACAAAAAAGCCTGGTCCCAAACTGGAATAGGGAATATACACAGGGAAATTTACTTTTGAATATTTGTATCTTGTACCTACACTATGCATATGAAATCTGGGGGTTTACTCTCGTTCTTCGTCTGAAACAATTAGGTACTGTCAAATTGGGAACATTCGACCAATATAAAAGACAATGTCAAGTATGAAGCTACATTTGCGTCATGCGTGTTTTAATTTGGTCAAATATTACTTATTTCACAGTATTTGTTTCAGACGAATGTCGGACGGAGAAAGAGAGTACAGGGTCTTCTTCTTCCTGTCCTTATCCCACGCTAGGTCGGCACAATATGTATTTTTCTTCCACTCTCCACTGTCAAAGATGGCAAATTTGTTGCAAAAGTTAAATTATGAGGATACTGAAGCTATACTTCATCCAATAGTGTGACTCAAGGTTTTGCTGATCTGTAGGATTACCATATATTTACACGTGCATATACACGCGCACGCAGGCACATACAAGCACACACACGCACACGCGCGCACACAAAAACACAAACACACACTAACACATGCACTCACGCACACGCACACGCACACGCACACGCACGCGCACACACACACACACACACACACACACACACACACACACACACACAC